GTCTTACCTGAAACAATAATACTTCAATTATTCAAAAACTAGTCACCTTCCTTCCCCCTTTAATCGGTCATTTAATCTCAACATTGTGCTCTGGTGTGGTTTTATTTACCTTGTATTCCTATTTTTAGCAGTAAAAGTTTTTTGGATTTCATTTATTAGATTTAATTAAATTTATAAATAATATTTTTTCATAAATTCACAATAAATTCAAACTTAAAATTAAAAAAAACAAAAAAACTCTCTTTGATATTTTGGCCAACATCCATCGGTTAATTCCCTTTTACTAAGAGCGCATACTTTCATAATTTCACGAGAATATAATTATCCCTTCTTTCTTTTTTATATCAAAAAAATATTATGAAACTTTAAATTTTAAAATTTTTATTTAATTTATTTATTTATTACCATTTTTTATTTTTATATAAATGTGTTAAACTACTGTCTAATATGTAACATAATAAATTCAAGTCAATATAATGCCAAGTTCAAGCTCAGTTTGATTAAATAACATGAGGCACAAATTCATTCGAATTTTGTTTTATCATTGAACTTGACTCAAAAAATAATTAGACTCAACTCAATTAAATTTGATTATAATTAATTATATAAAAATTAGTTTTTTTAACTCGTACAATGTACGGGAATTTTTATTAAAATTTTCATAATTTTAAATTTATTTTTTAATTATTTATCTAAATATAAATTATATATTTATAAATGTTAAGTTACAATTAAATTATAATTTATACATAATATATTATAAATGATATTGTTCATATAAAAAAAGTCTAAACTTTTGTAAATTTTCAATAATTATAAAAATATTTTTTTCATTAAAAATAGTTTCTTCAATTTATTTGCTAAATACTAAAACTGTTGCTACCGTTTTTTTCTTGTTTGATAAAAATCAAGACTCAATGTTTAAATAGTTAAGATTAATGATTGTTTTTATCGTAATGTTGATTGGGTGGTGTATATATATTTGATTGAATAACAAATCACAATTATTAATTTTGTTATATTCATTTGCTTTTTATTAGTTCTTATTTTTTACATATTTCAAGTAATTATTACACAAATATATTGGGCTAACAATTATTTCTATATATGTCAACAAAATAAAGTTATTTTTTAGATAAAAGGGAAACAATAATTCTTTATGTTATGCTTAAAAACAAATTTTTGAAATATTTTTTTTATTTTTAATCATTTTTAACATAATTGATGGTATTTTTTATGAGTTAGATATAGTAGTGATCATCATTCTTCTCATATCATCTATTGTAGACAAAGAAATTTAATAATAAAAAGTATAGCAAAAGAAAATAGATAATATAAATTTACATATTAATTTGTCAATATTAAATATATACAATAAAAAAATATATATGTTAATAAATTAATAGAGAATAAAAACATTGAAGAAATGAATAAAACAAATATATATAATACAAAAAGTTAATTATAATCAATCTAAGCAAAATTTTAAAAAAAAGTTATGGATTAAAGAGAAACAAATAAATTAACCAAATATAAAATATAAAAATATTTAATTAAAAACATAAATAAAACATTATATTTGTTTTCAAAGCAAAAACATATTTTTATCTAACTTTTGTATCAACATTCAAATGTTTCATATTTTCATATAAAGATGTAAGCTTTTATTATTTTAAAAATACATGCTTTCTAGTCAATAATTGATTAACTTATCTAAAAATATTAAATTTCAATAATCTATTAAATAATTCTTAGTTTTTGATAGATTTTGATTTGAATTTAAATATTATATAAAAATATTAAATTTAAATAATTTATTAAATAGAATTATTTGGCAAAAAATAAAATTTTATTAAGTATATATATTTGGAACTATTATTAAATTTAAAAAGAAAAGATAATTTATAATTTTATATATTTGAATTCAAATCTTATGCAAAAATTTCAATCTTAAATAAATTTTGATTTTAATTTAAAGAATTATCCAAAATATTCAGTTTAAATAATTTATTAAAAATTTTTATTTGATAAATAAAATAATATAAATATTATTTTATGTATCATTAAAAAAGATTATCCACCTAACCATCTACATAAATAATTTTAATCATGTAACATTGTATATTGTAATATAATATATATATTATATTTGAAACTAATCAAGTTTATTTTCAAATAAAAGCTCGAATAAACTTTTAAAATATATAAATAAATATTTTTTATATATAATATTTAAAAAATACAAAAACTCAATAAGATTTTTGAGTTACATGAATATTGTGAGCCACTCAATCGAAATATCATTAATTTGAGCTTGGCTCAAATTATTACTCAAATAATTTGTGCCTGAATTCAAATCGATAATCAACTAATCAAATTTAAATAATTATCAAGTTAAAATCGAGTAATTTAACTTGTTTAATATCCCTAAAATTGACAATATAGTGGCATATTTCTTATTAGACAATTTTGAAAATGTGGATTAAACATAGATGATTAAGATTCTATATATTATTTGCACCCGTGATTGATTACGCATCAAGATGTCATAAAAGCAAACCTTAAAAATGGATCATGATTTTTCCCTTTTGCCCCTAAACTTGCATGTGCTAACATGTGCCAAGTTTGTATGATCACATCTTATCTAAATTTATCAAGAAGTTGGAAAAGCAGTCAGTTGGCTAGGTTGGCACCTAAAAATACCATAGGCATGCATTTTGAAAAATAAATGAGAATAATCAATCTAGCTACTAAGTTATTAGTATTACAGATTAATAAAGTTTGGCCTTTTGGCTATCCCACATCGTAAAGAAACATTTCTTCCACATAGATCGGAAAATAAAAGTGACATTTCTTTTATTTAGTAGCCAAAAAAAATAAAATTTAAAAGAAAATTTATTTTGAACGTCCCAAAAAATTTTTTATGCTTCTAAAATTTTCTTATGAACATATCTTTCTTAATTTCTTAATCACTCCACTTACTATTATTATCTAATATCAAACCACAGCCTATAGCCAGTCAAGATTTAATACTATACAAACATTGACTACAGAAAAAATATTGAATCCACCGCAATTAATAACACATTATAACTTGGGTTTTCAAGTATGAAGACTTGTCTGATATTTGAGGAAATTAGAACAAAAATTTTAAACCCATTAAATGATTTTGAGCAAAAATATGAAATCCCCTTAAAAAATAACTTAAAAAGTCCGATTTTGATTCCTACATTCAAGCCTAAGCCGGTCCAATCCAGCTTGGCATCTCTATAATTATTAGTTTTTATATTTATATATAATATTCATAATTCATATTAATAAACATATGTGAAACTATAGTATAAATATTAAAAATATTTTAGGTTACACATATTTAAAACTTTATAAAAAAAAATCCTAAAGGTTAAATTAAAAAGAATTAATGAAGTAAATTCATTATATGGTAACAAAGCTTATGTTGTGAGCATTGAATCAGTGTAAAAAGTAAATTCAAAGCAAAGAAATAATAATGATTTTAGGGTATATATGTTCTGCTAATGGTATGTTGAGTTCCAAAATGTTTGCATAAAATCATTGATCTTTGCTTGGCTATTAAGTATAAAAGAAAGTCGTCTCGTTGGAGTCTTGTCAACGTCGGAGTTGGTGGGAGAGCCATCACTAAATTAATTTTAATAAAATATAATACTAAATTATTCGTTTTAATTTTTAGAAAAAAATATTATAATTGTAAACATTTGCAACTGTGAGAAAGAAAATTAATGCCATGATCAAGTCATGGAAGCTGTTTCTTTTCTCATGACTTATGGATTTAGTATACTTTGAAGTTATTTGTTTTGAATACTTTAACTAGTATTGGAAAAAGATAGAGAAAAAAAAAAGGATTTCGTAAGAAAAGGGTTAATATTATGAATTATTTATAAATTATATTAAAATATTTAATTTGATATTAAATTTAAATTTTTTTTAATGTAGTACTTAAACTATTAATGTATTATTTAATATGATATTTAAAAAATTATTTATTTATCATCATTTAAAATTAATCATATTATAAATAAATATTACATTATTAGTAAATTTGTAATTTAAATATAATATTAAAATTTTTTAAAATTTATATATCATATTATAATAATGGGTTGATCACATATGTTTTGAATTTGGCTTTAATAATAATAATAATAATATTATTATTATTATTATTAAACCAAACGGTCAATCAACTAATCATTCATTTAAGTGAAAATAATCTAACCATAAATCATTTATATAAAAAATAAAATTTAACATAATTCAACATTCAATTTACATACGAAACAAATGAAAAAAAAATATAAATATATCAAATAAATAATATTCAATTCCAAACAAATCACAATATAATAATTAAATACGTCAACTCGAAAGAAATCCACCCACTGGAACTCACTCTTATTCCTTTTTTTAGTGCCATAAAATAATCTTAAATCAAGCATCACATCACTATGTGAAATTTAAGGAGAAGGGGAGTTATCTTGTTAATTATGGTTTTGTTTTTTTATAAAAAAATTGAAGATAATTGATATTATATATAAAAAAAATTTCTATAATTTAATTGATAATTAAGGATCAATAAATGACTTACCAGTTGTTACTCCACTCTTGAAGGATAAGTTTCAAATCCAACGAAGAAACCGTCATTCTTTTTCTTTTATGACAAGCAAAGAATCAAAATAAAAAAAATAGTAACGACACTATAAAAATCGGAAAATAATATTCTCCATTCCATAAAAATTAATAAAAATTTTTACTAATTTATTTAAGAGTAATAAATAAATTTTTAACTAAATTTATGATTGAAATTTAATAATTTCAATTTTAAAATTACAAATTTCAAAATTCAAAATTTTGTATAACAATGTGGAATGGTGATATTTTAATCAAATAAATTATTAGTTTAAAATTTGGTTTGTGGACTGAAAGCCCATATGTAAGAAAAACCCTTTTCTTAAACCCTTCCAAAACCCTTGTAAGGCCATGCCACCCCCTCTTCTATAAATGAGTCGGTGGCTCCCCTCCATTTCTTTGAATGGGGCGAGCGGCGAGGGCTTTGGTTTTGGGTGAGAGATGCGAAGGGAAAGAAAGAGAATCTAAATTCTACACTGGAAGCAGCCAGAAACATGTGGATGAAAGAAAATCTGAGGGGACCCTGATGTCCCAATTAATAATTATAGTTTTCAATCTGAATTCGACGGCTGCTCGTGTTTTTTCTTCGATTTCTCTCCATTGTCTTGGCCTTCCCTCAATGCCTCCTTCCTGGACCTTGTGATGTTTGCTTTTTTACAGCTCTGAAGGTTCAATCTTCACTTTTTAATTATTTTTTTCTATTTCATTATTAATTTGTAATATATTTTGTGCGCTTTTTAAAGTTTCTATAATCTTTACAGATATTTGCTTCATTTCTTTTCTGAATTTGTTCTTATATGTTAGTATTTTTCTTGCATCTATTTTCTTTTGTATTAGTAAGATACATCTATGAATGTTTCTTTTACATAGTTTACGTTGCCCCCCACAAAGATCAATGTCTATATCCACTTTATCTATGTTCTATGATCATGATGGACTTCCGCCAGGTTCTTTCTGTAAATATTTGCTGCAGCTTCAGCATCTTTTTATGTGTAAAGTGATGTTAGCTGGTGTTTCCATGAAACCGGTTTTCAGAAACATATGGTTACAAGCACTTTTGCGACAACGAAAGGCCGAGTTGTGCCCTTTGTCAGCTATCCAATCAAACCTCATACTTATTGGATTGGTGATCTGGATGTTATCCTGTATATAGCAGTGGGCATAATCATCCAGAAGAAAATTGTCCCATACTTCAATAACTTAGCAGGTATGAACTGGCAGTGTGGATTTGTTTTTGTTCATCTTTTGGTAATCTAAATCCTAAGACGAAAGTTTCTGTGCTTCATTATATTAATTCTGGTAATTATGCTTTATTGTTTGGTACTGGATATGCAACTTGTCTTGGAGTACATATTCATGCATACCATGAGGATGCATCGTCGTTAAAGCTTTCTCCCGTGCATTTCTAATAGCTGTGTTAACATTAACCAAAATGCCGGTAGTCAAAGTTTTGCTGAGAGATTAATTATCCTCAAAATAATCCCATGATGATTTCTTTCAACTTGAAACTGAACATAACTACTGCCACCAATGAATTATTCTCAACGATTATGTTGTTCTTTGTACAATTTGATTTCAGTTGCTACATTCTTGTGCTTGTAAAGTGTTATGCACTGGTCTTCGTTCCACCATGAAACTATTTGCATCTCGTATCACTGATTGAGAACTTGATGCTGTACTTTCCACTGCTCCATCACAATTTACTTTATGGAAACCCTCCATTGTAGTTGCCAAAGAACCCTATCTTCACTCACATTGCCCTGCAGCTTCCTTATTGCTTTCATGGATTTACTTATACTGTCACCGGAAAACTCTATCAACCTCAATGGCATTTTGTATTCATGCCGAATCATCTTGGCATATTCCCAAATTCCATTGTCAGACCACCACTTCGAGTAACTTAGCTTCTTCTAATGACTAAAGGTAGATGGAAAATTCATGCCTAAGTTGTGTTTAAATCTGAATTTGAAGCAATGTAAGAGGGCTTTTGTGATAATATCAATATTGGAAACATTCATTTATTGTAATTCTGTTTATGTCTCTTTAGTTCATTGTTGCAATATATCTGTGTACGTAATGCATGCCTGCATGCCTAAAATTTGTGCGTAAACCAGGAATGTATAGTTGATTACAATGCTTGAAGCTATAACCTGATGCAGCTGCAGTGGAGGCAAGAAAAGGAAAATAAGTTTTAAAAATCGACTCTTTATGTAGATTTCCCCCTTGGTACAAATGTGAAAATTTTGATAAACATAGAACATTGTAGTTTGATAAATGCTTCTGCATTTATAATCATAAAACATATGATGGAAATTAACTTGATAAACATTGTAGTTTATGTAGTTTATGGAGCCTAATTGGCTGGAGCATATGTGTGCCTCTCTTCTTTGACCCCCAATTGTACTCTTATTATCTATTATATGATTTGTATCTGCAATCACAAGATACAGATCGTTTATGTATTACATAATGCATATTCAACGGCTATCACTGTTTTTATTAATGCTTATTCTTTCTATGAAAGAACAGTTTGCAAGAAAGAAGGGAACAAGTAGATGTGTCAATTTGGTATTCAACGGCTGTCCAAAATGCATCAGAAGAGCCCTGGAAAAGAGTCCAAATAATGCATCTTTCAAAAATTTGGACAAATCTGAGAAATGCAATGTATCTGTCTAATGATTCGACAAGGCGTGGTGCTCTGTAGATATGTAGATATTACATAGCTTTTGCGCTCACATTTTCTTATCTTCAGTTGGATGATATTCAACATGATAATTAGTACATACAGCTGTACCTTTTTGGTGATGCCTTGATTTCTATGAGATTTGTGGTCGTCTTGGTGCATCGTTTTTCTTGGTATTTGGGACCCACTCTGTGATTATAGCAACAATTGGTTTCCTTAATCTATTAGGATCTCCTCTTAAGCTGGAGTTTTTCTTTATTGTGCCCAGTTCTGGAGGTATTGGAAGCATAGATTCAGCATTAAGCTTTGCTCTCAGCACATTTAATATTCACGGCACTACAGTTAGAAGAACCTTAAAATCTTCAATGCTAATGCTCTACTTTGCCATCAATTGGCCCACCTTCTGAAACTATAATTCAGGCCAGCAAGCCTAAGCAAATCAAATTTTGGTGGCCGGGCTAGTGTGGTTATTAGTCAGCTCCCGCTGTGAAATGTTTCCATTTGAATATTATAAAACAAATTCGAACTTTTGGTGCAATTTTATTCTGATTTGAAAGTATATTAGTGGCTTCACCTTCAGCTTCCATTGACTTTGTGCTCCACGATTGGTTCGAGATAGTGTTTTTCATTTTCAACCTAGATCAATGTTGAAGTGTTTGATTGTCACAATTAGACTATTTTTCAAATATAAAGAGAATAATTAAATTAAAAAATTTAGAAATATTTATTTTTTGTAATAGTTTAGACATTCACAATTTGATAGAAGTCATTTTCATCACACAGTCAAATGAAATATAACTCAGGACGAATCATTTTCATCACTCAATCAAATGAAACATAAATCAAGACTCATGATCAATTGGAACTTTATTTTTTATTTTTTGATTAATTCTACCTACAAAAAAAAAAAGTTCATGAGCTCGTTACTTTGTTACTTCCTATGTTTATGTTAAGACAACATAGTATTATTCTTGAGAACTTTGAGAAGAAAGGATCTCATGGTTTTCTAAAAAGGATGTTCACACGCCCATCCCTTGTATTATTACGAGAATGTTTTAAGATGGTATTGCTCTTTATGATTTACTAATACTATTATAATAATTGAAGCTGGTTTGAAAAGCATTCTTATTAAAATGTGCTTGATTTCTTTACTTTTCATATTAAAACGAATATTGTTAGTTGACTAAGCTGATTGGCGTTGCCCTTTCAATACTTGCTGGTTTAAGTGATTTTCGTTCCCAATAAGGCGCAGTCAGCTACCACAACTCTTTAACTTACTTCGTCCTTTGTTTGCTCAGCTGATCACTAATATTTTTAAAGAAAATTCTAAACTATGTTGCTGGCCCTTTGGCCTGAAATTTTGCATTCCGTTCTGTTTTAAGTTATGAACAGTTTTTCAGAAGAAGGGTTGGAAAAAAGATAAAACGAGTAGTATTTACAACTGGACTTTACACTAGGTTTTGAATGGTATTCTGGCAGCTGACCTATAGCCTTCTGGTGATAATTTTCATTCTGGCTTGCATATGGTACAATTAACAAAAAATTTGACTAAGCTAATTCACCTATAGCTATGTATCAAACCTTCAGGAGCTACCGGTGCTATTGTCACAGCTACTGTAGGAGGTTCTGACGAGCTTGCCTGGCTACACCCAACAATCTTTTGGCATGTCTCTATTAGGCAGTGCCTGCATTTAGGGCAAGATGAATGAGAGCTCAGCCACTTATCAATGCACCGGACATGGAATCCATGGTTACACTTTGGTAGAAGCCGCACGCGGTCACCAGGTGTGAAATCTGATAGACATATGACACACTCTGAGTCCAAGCCAGTCAGCTCTAAGTCAGTGGAGTAGTTTACTGTTGGAAAGGTTTTTAAGGCTTTTCGCTTGACCCCTGTGTTTGCTAACCGAGCTGAGGTGCTGGGTCCGGATTCTGAAGCTACTAGACTTGAGCACCTTAATGCACACCTAATGATGGAATTGAGTCCTAGTGAGCAAATTAGGGCACACAAGAGGACAGACAGAACCATAACAATGTTTGCATCGAAGCTGTTATTACTGGTGTAAGGATTTGAAGAATTGTGGTTGTTTTCAGGGTTTGGAGGAACTGCTGTAGTTGGTGTTTGGAAAGGTGGGGTATGCAGCAGCAACCTCCTAGAGTGCAATTCTCCAAAAAAATCTTGAAGAAGTTGAGTGGATATGGCAATGGACATTGTTTGGCAGGGTAAATTGTAAGGTTCAGATAGTTAATTCTTCTTGGAAGTAGTTGGACAACGGGATTTATATATAGGGAAAGGTGGGGATTTGAATTTTCATTTTGAGCCTTATGATAAGGATTTCTTTTTTCTTCTTTTTTTTATAAAATGAATTATAATTGAGAATATTCTGAGGGTTTAGACCATAGTATGGGCTTTATCTTTTATTTTATGTAGGATTACAACCATATGGTTTGTCCACTGACTTTGTGAAGTTCACTAGGCTTTCTTATCAAATAGGCTCCATCCCACCTTCTGCTGTAAAGAAGGTGCCACATGGCAGTTGCCTTTCATAATCGTATCCTGAAATGCTCTGTTGGACCCATTTCTGCAAGAGCCCGCGGGAAGAAGCCATGAACCTTTCCAGTCTTGGGATTAATAGGAAAACACATTCCTCATGTTGGTTCAACAGTCGAGTGGCCATTTTAAGCCTTGTCAGGATAGAGATTTTAATATTTTAATATTTTAATATTTAATCTTGTTCTAATGTACGAAAGCGATGTACATGCCAAAATTTTTTTGAGTCAGACTCAACTTGAGTCTATATATAATCCTTGTATCAATTCTATTAAGCTTAAAACACATATAGCAGTCATTAGTCAGAATTCAATCATGAATGTATTCGGCATTTTTTAAGGATATCCATCCCCTGGCCCTGCCCTTCCTTTTGCTTGATCTGGTGGTTGTCTCTAGAAGATTTTGCATTAATTCTTGCTGAGTTGCTGTTTACATTTTAATAATTATGCAGATAATTAGACGGAGATAATCAAGACAGGACTGATTTGCAGTAAAGATTTTGGCTCTCGTTTCAGCAATAAGCCACTTCCTCCTCAAATGTAATATCAACTCCTTTGCTTCATTGTGTCGTTTTCATTACTAATGGTGATGACTGTTGCTTTCTTATCAACACAACTTTGTTTAGAGATATGGAATCAGTACGGTAGGGTGTTTTGATGGCCTATCATTAGCCATTTCATCAAAATTAGATATGCAAAAGGGACCCCTTAAGATTCCTTCTGCTTTTATTTTTTTTTTCTTTCCTTTGGTAGCTCGATCATATTATGTTTTCTACTATTATGCAAGTGGGTGATTACAATCTGACAGAATCCCTATAGACAACTCCTTGTGGCTCTAAACTTATCAGGCAAAATTCTTCAAGGGATCTTTGGTGAATCCTTTGCTGATATTAAAAAATCAAGTTGGTGGGTACTTGATGAAATAGTTGAAAAGTTAGCCGCTGGTTAAGAGCCCGTGTAATTTTTTTTTTGTTGATGAATATACTATAGTCATCATGTGCTTGCATCCTCTCATAACTACTTGTGTTAATTCTCACTATTCAATAAATGTACGTATTTCTTAACAAAAAAGTCGAATTCCAGAGAATAGATCGAGACAGGCTAATTTTAAAAGATATGATAGCTAGCTTTTGCTTTTGCTTTTGCTTTTGTTTTCGTTTTTGTGTTGTACTGGAAGTACTGATTGGTGTAGAGGAATATCTTTCTTTTTGTGGACTGGATTTCATGTTATTGCTTTCTTGGGTCTACTTCAAGAGAAAGAGAGAAGCGAGGGGGGTGATTAAATAGTGATCCATGAATTTTATCTCTCACTTAGTGGAAGCTGTGTTGAGTTGTTTATCTTTACTTCATGATAATGGCGTGGAAAATTGTCAAGTGGGAAACGTTGTTTGAGAAGTGGCTGCTTTATAAATTGTATGTTTTTAATTAAAAAATTGCTGCTTAAAAATGTTTACCATAATTTCGAGGTCAAAGCTTCATTTCTATGCCGGTACAAAAAGATTTCCGGCTATCATGAATTGTATAATTAGAGTAACAAAACATGCTACTTGCTAGATATATGAAACCAAAAATGAAAAGAAACAGTATATTTGAAATTGTTAATTAATTTTCCTTTCATTTGCCTATAGGCAGAAAGCAAAGGACAAAAGGGATATTAATAAAAATCATTAGGGTACAGTGTCCAAAGTAAAGGACGAAAAGTTGCAATGGGGATGAAGGTTTTGATTCTTTAGAAGGCGACAAGCCCTTTCATTCTTTTCTTTGCAATGAGCACACTGTCCCAACCAACATAAACTTAATTAAACCATGTGAAAAGCAAGATCCAATAGTCATGGGAAAGACATTAAATGTCTAGATTAAAATCTGAATTAAAGAAAAGGAAAGCATTGAAAAAGGATTTTGAAAGTTAGCATTAATTGGTTGCCTTTTGTACGCCGCCTGCTACATGTTTTTTTTCTCTTGATTTTGGAGTGTACTCTACGCATTCTAATAGCCAGACCTCAGGCCTGCTCCTTGTCACTAAAATTTTTAACTGATAAAATTGAGTTTCCAGAACGATCCAACCATGCATGGCAGCTCAAATTCAGGGTGGAAATACGAAATTTGGCAGGTTTTTTAAGTAACATTTGCAAAGTGCTCTAATTCTTGAGAAGAAAAACATCAGTATATCACACGTTGTGTGTAATATAATTTTGACTGAAGATTACAGAACAAGAATGGTTCATTATAAGTGTTGTAATCGTGGTTGCAACCTACTTTTTTTTTTTATCATTTTTTTCCTAACACACACCCATCACCATCGTCATCATCATCATCATCGTATTCACATGTGTGGAATCTATATCTAATAAAAAAACTATGTAAGCCATAGCACTGATGATTATAGATATATTGAAAATAATGAAGAAGAGAGCAAGCGAGAGGATGTCAACCTATTGTATTTACTGGAAACGTTTGCTTGCCTTTTTCCTTCCTTTTCGGATAGTTAGGTTGGGTATGGAAATTTGATTTCCTGGCCAACAACTATGTGGTTTGTTGATGAAGTATTAGATTTTTAGTTTCAGTTAGTAGGATTCAATCTTCCTTTAATTCTGCTAAGCTTTTGAAACTCAACTGCTAATTCTAACCAGAGTTAACATTAATTTCCAGAACTGGGTTGTCCAAATACAACGAACTGTTTTGTCGGTAATGGACCCTGGAAAGATGGGGAACAAAGATAAAGGAGGTCAGGACAAATTTTGCTCCTTTTTTTTTTGCTTTATTTGCTTTTGTTGTATAATGTTTCTTAACAGGATAACATTCTTCTAAAGTATTTTTGATCATTGATGGACTTATTCATGGTTTTTCATTTTCAAATTCTGATCACTTTTTGAATAATGATTTCTCTTGGCCACACTGCATTTTCCTTCCGCAAGATTGATCGTACAATTAATTGAATATTTTGATCCAGTCAGAGGATTTTGTTAGATTAACTTTAGAACTTTGTTGCTTGCAATTTTGTGAATAGAAAATTCTGGTGCACGTTTAGCAAACTGATGCTACCCCAGATGCAAGATTACATTATTGCACTATGTGGCTGCTAGCTTTGCATAACTAGTGGAGTCTGGCCCTACCAATCTACCATATATGAATTTTGATGAAAGTTGAGAATTTCAGTGGTAAATAACTTAGTCATGATTTTCAATCTTGAAGACAATATTAGTAATCATTGTCAAAAATGGCTGTGAAATATAATTCAGTGAGCAGGGCAAAAATTTTTATTGTCGAAATGTCCTTGTATAAGTAAATTACATCAAAACCTGCCTAGTTTATCCCTATAATTATGCGTTCAATATTCACAAGTTTCAAGTTCTCCGCTATGTGCTTTCCTGCACCCGTAGAGACTGTTCCAATGAGTCAGCCTGGCTGCTGTTAACGGTTTTTTGGTCTGTTTCAGTTAGGCAGTGCCTACATGTAGGACATGAAGAATGTGAACTAAGCCATTTATCGATACAACGAGTATGAAATCCATGGTTGCACTTTGGCAAAATCCGCAGACGTTCCCCAGAGGCAAATTCCGACAAGCATATTACACAAGCTGTGTCTAAGCCTGGCAGTTTCAACTCGGTTGTATATTTTACAATCGGGAAGGCTTTTAAGGCTTTCTGCTGAACTCCTGCATTTGCCAACTTGGCTGAAAGGTTCGCACCAGATGCAGCAGCGACTAAACTTGAGCATCTAACTGCACACCTGATAATACAGAACAACCCCAAAGAGGAAATCACGCTACATATGAGGACTGAGAGAACAATAATTATATTTGCATCAAAGTTGTTATTGATGACATAACTGGTTTCTTGAGCTGGGGAAATTGCTGGGGCTTCTGTTGGATAAAGAGAGGAATGTAGGAGAAATTTTCTTGGATGAAAGTTTTCAAGTAAGTCTTGGGAGAATTGGGTGGTTGTTGAAGAAGTTGACATTTATTTTCGTATAGTGCTCTAATTTGGATGGCTGCACTTCTTGTTCTAGGAGTTGGTTCCATTGAAGGATTATATATACATGAAAAAGTTAATTAAAAGGTGGGTCAGAGCTTCATATTTAAGATTATGCGAAGGGAACCAGCAAGTATATCTGAGAATATTTCCTGCAGGTGTTGAGGGTATTTTATTTAGGACTACAAGTTTGATCCCCACTAAGCCTTTTGTGCTCAATACATAATCTGCTAATGGAAAAGGCCAATACAACTTTCCGGTAGAGCAAAAGGTGCCACCTGGCAGTTTCCATCCATTGTTCCTATCAATGGAAGCTCTAGTCAATAGCCAGTATGTAGTGTTGGAAGGGATATTCACTGATTAACTGATGAACCTTTACCAAACTAAAAATGTCTTTGGAAACCAATAGACCCCTTTCTCTGCACTCCTTAAGAGGACACAAGAGGACAATCATTTTAATTTATTTATCCTGCCTTAGCTATTGAATTATTGATTAATCTTGTTAACCTTATAGAGTTGGAAGTTTTTTATGTGAAGTCAATGGGAGTTTGGTTGAATTGGTAAGAATCATTTTGGTTTAGATTCGAGTTCCACTGCCAGTAATCTCTTTAAGTCCAATGTAAGTTCTCACTAAGGTCTATGGTATGTCTTAAAACTGGAATGGGGTAATCTTCCTCGTCACCTAAACTTTTTTGACACAGAAAAAAAGTTTTATCTGTGAGACTGGATTTCGTTTTATAGAGTTATCTAATGAAACCTGTTCAGCTATCGGGATATGAACTCTCTGCTGTACCATCAATAGAAATATTATGTTTCTCTATGTATGAATTTCCAACCTGGAAATATGAATCTTCACTACTGTAACAAGTAACTGTAGGCACAGAAACTTGAATCTTCACTGCTGTAACAAGTAACTCTAGGCACAGAAACTTTGGAATCACTGGAACAAGGGATGTTTATAAAACAAATGAAACCAAAGCAACAAGCACAATGTTACAAACTATTTTGAATCCTTAAAGGAGTAGGATAGGGACGAGTTGGTTTCTAACCATCAAATTATCTGTACGGAGAAAGTACAATTTGCAGCTATTACATAGTTATTTTGATTGAACTTGTGTGCTATATTATATATGCGGGCCAGGTTTACAACCATAAATTACTGCCTGCAGTAAGCGATATAATACAACGCAAGTCGCCTTTTTTGGTGGTTAGTTCATCTTAGCAGTCAAACTAATACAAATTACTTGCACTTTATATTATTTTTTTTGTGGATAGTCAGAAATCTACAGCCAACTCGCTGGCATTAGATAACATATCCGTTTCTAGAATCCATGTTCTTTAGTTTATTTATTTTGCTAGCAAATCAGGTCATTATCCTACAGCCATGCAAGTTGTTTGGCCTTTCCACATTGGAAACGAGCTAAAATAAATCAGTTTTTACTTGTGGCTACAATTAGAGCAGAATTATCTATGAGATTGAGATCTTTCAAAAACGCTCGTGCTAGTTTTTAATTGCCAAATTGGTACTTCATGGAAGCAATCGAAGGTTAAAAGGTTGATCCGAATCTATCAGGATACTGCAGTCATTACTTCAGAACCATCTATATAACATGTAAAGTACTTTATGCACAAGGAAATATTATAGATTTTGGACGAAAGTTGTTAATTTTTAACTTTTCTACTATGTTTATATATTTTCATATAAAACTGATAGGATCAAGGATGGGCAAATTCTAAAGGGGAAGCATTAATTTGTTTTTGTCTCGTACCACTAAACGAATCCATATCCTCTTAGTTGGATTGCACAAAAGTGGGAGAGAGAAGGGGAAAATCACGTTTTGTTTGGAAATCCATAAACAAATACTACACCTTACACACAACCTATTATCCGGAAATATTGCTTTTGTGATAATGGATAGGAATTTACAAGTAGCCTATTTGCTGACAAACTTGGAGTAGATATCCAATTCTAGTGGCTGTTGCTTTCTTTATGGAAAAACACCATAGTATGGTTGCTAGCTTTGGTTGCACTAGGTTCCTCTCATCTGTTAATTCGCAAATGTCCAAGGAATGCTGAGTACCTGAACTGCGGTCAGTCGTAGTTTTTGGTGATCAGTTCCAAGAATCCGAAATCATCATGTGAGCATACCTTGAGACAAGTTATCGGTTCAACTTACACACTCCGGTAATGGCATTGAATTTGATTCAAAAAGAAAAGATCTTCGTAGCTCATGTTTGTTAATTATGTAGTTCAGTTTAATGAAAATCATTTTCCCTTGCAATTTCTAAATTTAAAAACTTCTGGTATATATGACACAAATATAGACTTTTTTTGATAATGCTTTTAAGTTTAAGGAGGATTTGTTTACAGGGACTTGCTTGATCAATGTGTTTTGGGAGGTATTGCCTTGGAAGGTTCTAGGGTTTTTTTTTTTTTTTTGTAATTTTAAAAATTTGGAGCCGAGTTTCAAAGCTTTTCTGGAGAAGGTCCCATATGTCTCTTTTGAAAGATGACAAAAAGGAACCAATGAACAAGATAGAGCATGCTCTTTTCTTTTTTTTTTTTTAATTAAAAGCAATGAGTAGGATAATATCAGTTGAAAAATTCTGGAAAGAGATAAATATGCACACTAAACATAATAAAAGCCAGAAAGTTGCTTTAGCCAACAGCTTTAAGAATTAGAATCCCTCTCAATTCCAATCTCTCTCTCTCTCTCTCTATATATATATATATATATATATATTATCATGAATGTCCATTCTGTGAAATTTCAGGTCTCTTTTGTTAACAACTTCTTAATTTAATCCCTTCATTTGTACTCATCCACAACCAAGAAATGGTCCGACTGAGGAGATAAAATTTGCAGTGGAGGTGCCCAATATATGATGGTTCCAGACAGCTCAACTTTATATGAGTTCAATTGGCAAATTAATAGTTGAAATTTGAGATATTTATATAAAAAATGTTTAAGCATATGCGTAATGCCTTAGTTTCCCTTTTGCTTTTAAGTTTTAAGTAATGCCTTGGCTTTGTTGAAGGAATTTGAATTTGTCTGGAAAGGCTCCAGATAATGTATAATGGGGTCTCCATGTGACAATACGGTTAATTAAAGTTGTGCGTTTTCAGTTTTGTCTTTGCTTTTCCTTTTGCTTGTCTGTTGGTGCATTTCTTATCAGGCATCTCTAACTACTCTTGTGCAATAGGGAGCTGCTTTTTTAACTTTTGATAGTAATCAACTTTCAATCATCAATGTCTTTCTTAAAGGAAACTTCAGTGAGGAAAAGATTAAAAAAAAGTCCCACTTGAACAAATTTCATCATTGATATAGTAGACAGCAAATTATCTTAAGTGTAAGGCGATCATTAAACCAGTACAGCTGAAGGCAATATGAGGCAAAACCTTTCATTGCGTTTGAAAACTGAATGACTCCACATCCCATTGGCTCAATGGAATTAATAATTGCTAAGAAAGAGCGTTTAAAAAGGTTGAACTTCAGGTGAAGCAGCTTCCATGAAAATGTTGATGGTGTAAGAAGTTGATTCAGATATGTCTTCCAAAGTCATAACCGAAACTCTCAGCTTAAACTCTGTTCACAACAGCATCTTTTTCTGGGCAAGTTTAGTTTTCTTGATAAATTGAACATTTGCCTAGGCTTTAAGCAGGAAAATCAATGTTGTCAATTTAGTGCCTTTCAGACTCCAAATTGGTAAATTGAGCTCCCTTATGGAATAAAAGACCTTCAGAGTGCAGGGGGTTTTCCACAAACGGCACAGAATCAAACTTATTAAACGCCCCTATAACTATGTACCATACTTTCAAGTTCCAGTGGCAGAATATTCACAATGCTGTCCTGAGCTGGAAGACATGATTCTGATGAGCTAGTTTGATCATCCCCCATGATTTTTTGGCATGTTTCAATCAAGCAATGCCTGCATTTCGGGCATGACGAGTGTGATTTAAGCCACTTATCAATACAAAGAACGTGAAATCCGTGGTTACATTTGGGTAGAAGCCGCAGGTGTTCACCAGGCACAAACTCGGATAAGCATATGACACATTCCATGTCCAGCCCTGGAAGATTCATATCTTCTGAGTAATTTACCACAGGAAAAGTCTTCAGGGCTTTATGCTCGATCCCTTTATTAACTGTTATAGCTGGAGTGTTGTCATTGGACTCTAAAGTTGCCCTGGTTGGGCACCTTAACGCATATCTGACAAGGAAGTTTAACCCCAATGAGCTAATTACGCCACATAGGAGAACTGATAGTACCATGAAAACATTTTCATCTAAGTTGGTCTTCTGAGAGTAAGGAGGAGCTGCTGTGACTGAAGTTTGGTTAAGAGGTTTGTAATATACCAGTAGTTTTCTGGAGTGAAAGTTTACAAGAAAATCTTGCAAGAGTTCTGAGGATGTAGAAGAAGTTGAATACATGCTTTTGCAAAGTTTGGATAAAATTGCTTGGTGGAGCAATCAAATGGGGGAAGATCATATATAGGGATGTTGAAAAGCTAAAGTAGTGTTCAACCGGTCATTGATTTAATCTATTACTTTTTCTATATATAAGCATCCAATGAGCCAGGACCCACTAAAGGACTATCCAAAATATGCCTGGATATCGTTACATCTTTTCTGTTAGTACAGAATTGAAAAATAGAGCGAGTGAATTGTAGAATTAAGTAGAGAATCTTGTAAATTGAGACTAAATATGTTAATGATATTTATTCACCTGTTGAAGTGATTCAGTTGATTTTATCACATATTCAAATGTAAAAAGGGGATCTATGCAGTTAAAGCTTACAAAACCGTTATAGATGCAAAGATGGGGACATATTAGGCTTCATTAGCGTCTGTTCTTTGTTCTTATCCAATCATAATCAGATACTATAGTGTCACCTTGGATCCAGTTCTATCCTTCCAACATAGCCCACAAAAACAAACAAAAATCTTTTTCCATTGGCCATGAAATCAAGTTTGTGCTCTTCTTGTTTGCAAGTAGTCTGATCGCAATCTGTTGAGTTTCAATTAGAAAAAAAAAATCATGTTTTGTGGCCCTAAATTAAAGTCACATAATCTATGAGATCTTGAAAAAATCTGTGGTACAATGATTAAGAAACCAATAACTTATAGTTTAAGTTTACTTACTGTACTAAACTTTGTTGATTATCCATAATCTCTCTTTTCAGAACAGTACTTAAAGCAATACTAAAAAAATACTTTGCTTTTGCAATGAGATTGACGCAATCACTTTACAGATAAAAGTAAACAAAGCATAAAGAAAAAAAGGCATATATAATCCATCTAACAATCTTCAGCCGTAGTCGTACCAGGTGTGGTTTGTGTAGTCTTCTTACAAATTTACATACCATTGTGAAAGTTGCTTTATGCATGTATGGATATTGTGAAAAGCTTGGAAATTATTGGATAAAAGCTGCTGATTGGTTGCAACCTAACTAAAAAACATTAGGAGGATTCGTGGAAGTTTCAGAGAATGGAGACGAAAGTGGTCAGGAAGCCCAGGAGCCACGAGACTGCATTTCTCAGAGTCCTACCAGCTGAGATTCCACGAGTGGAAAACCAACCAACTCACTTCGCAAACTGCCATTTCTATATTAGCTTAGGAAAAAGCCGAAAAGCCTTTTTCTTTATCGTACTATTAAAAACACTGCCGAGACATAACAAGGTACCATTGGGCCAATGAACCAGAAGTCAAGACACAAAGCCGAGACAAACAAACCCCGGCAGAATTAAGCCTTTGATTGGGCCAACGAAACAGAAACTAGTCAGTCCAGTGGAGTCCATTGGGATTAAAAATGCTACACAGACAAGACATAAACAATGATTACACATTGTCCAACTCTAGCAACCCAAGTCCAACAGGCAAGGAGGAGGAAGAGTAGAGGAAGCAAGCAACCGGCCAGTATCAAGCTGGGGTGTCCGCTCCCGTGGGCCCCCCATCCTCTCCCCGTGCTTCCTGCTAACTTCACCAAGAATTTCTCCTTTTTCTTATTTCTCTCTCTCTCTCTCTCTGATAAAAAAAAAAAAAAACCAAGATTCAAGTTTCACTCCATTAACAAACTGGTGAGTTGGCTTTCCTATCAGCTGCGTTTGCCTTTTTGTTTCTTTTTTTTTTAAATTTGTTTTAAAGTTTTAATTTAGTTTGGTTTTTTCTTTTCTGGCTCTGCAATTTTGAGTTCTGCTTTGAAAGTTGTCCAATTTTTGCAAAGTAAATTTCTGGGAAAAGGTAAAAATAAGAAAAAGGACCCATGTGCCAAACGTGTTTCCTACATAATCAGGCCACAGTTAAATATAGAGAACATAAGAAAGCAATAGTCTAAGCGTTTTTTTAATTGGATTTTCCTAGTAATTCAGATAGTTTATATTGAATATAATATTTGTATAGCTGCTTCTTGTACCTTTTTTTAGCTACTTGAATTGCTATTTTCACTGGTTAATTTAGTTCCTTTTCAGTGATTTCTTACTGTGTTTTTATTGAGGGATGAGCTGTTGATTGTTCCTTATGGTTTTCTACTTGCAGTGAGATTATCTTCACAGGTGTTTCGAGTTTATAATCTCACTTTCCCTTAAAGGGTTTAATTGTTCCACTTTTAGCTAATTTAAAAAATATGGCATCATCTCATAGCAACACTCACACTGAGGCAGCCAAAATGGAACAAGTTATCACTGAATTCTTCTATAAGAGTCTTCTTATAATAGTTGAATCGAGGTCTCCTTATGTGTCATCTCGTAATTATAGTGGTGAACAAGCTGTGTCATCTCCATCTTCATCCTCATCATCTTCGTCAAGTGTGAGACCGAGAGATAAATGGTTCAATTTAGCTCTTAAGGAGTGCCCTTCAGCACTAGAAAATTTTGACCTTTGTCGCCAAAGTAATTTTGAGCCGGTAGTGGTTGATGTTATTTTGGAGCAGAAGCCACTTGATTGGGAACCTGTGACCTTTTCCCCCAAAAGGGATCTTGTTAGGAATTTGTCATCTAAAGATAAGAATTCATTTTTCTGGAATTCTGATCAAGAAAAATCTGGTGTTGAGACAAAAACTGAAAAGATTATAGAAAGATGGTTCGTGCAGCATGAAAGTAGAAAGGGTAGGGATTTTAGTTCAGGGAGTAGAAGGTCAAGTAGTAATAATTTGAGTACGTTTTATAAGAAATTGATATTGCTGTTGAGGTCCTTATATGCGACTGTTAGGCTTTTACCTGCATATAAGTTCTTTCGTGATCTCAATTCATCTGGTCAAATTCGTGCCTTTAAGCTTGTTCCTAGGGTATCTTCTTTTGTTGAACACTTCACTCGTAAAGAAGAGGCAGAAATGCAGCGATTTTTGTTTACCCCTGTGGATACTTCTTGCGGAAGACTTTGCCTTTCAGTTTTGTACCGTTCATCAATCTCAGATATATACTCTGAGTCATCAACTCTTATGTCCCCTCAATTTATACCAGATTACGTTGGAAGCCCATTGGCAGACCCACTGAAGCAATTTCCCTCTCTTCCTGTGTCGCACAGCTCTCCATCATCTTTGCCATTCGCAAGAAGACATAGTTGGAGTTATGACCTTTACAAGGCTTCACCGCCTTTGGTTTCTTTCTCACCATCACCAACACATTCAGAATCGCATGCTTCAGTTTCTAACCCAAGTTCGCACCGTTTACCACCTATGAGCTTACCTCGTCATCCTTCTGAGACATCACTAGCTCATAAGAAGAACACAAACTTTGATGAGTATTATCCTTCCCCCAATTTCTCTGCTTCCCCTACCCCCTCTCCATCACCCCCCATCCACATTCCCGGGACTCATCTGTCAAAAGCTCTTTCACGTTGTGAAAGTGCTCCTGTTAACATACCTGCTCCTAAGCTTGCTAATTCCCCTGCATTGCCCAGAAAGCAAAATTTGCCACCATCACCTCCCCTTAAACTTACAAGAGCTGGTACTTCTAGCACTGATACTAATATGGGTCCTGGTCAAACTGCTGCAACTATTGAGAAGGTATTTCATATAAACATCATTGGTATGTTGTGATTTCTACTGTATCTTGCTTTGCAACTTGGAATTTATTTATCTTTTGTCTCTTGTAGCTGTTCTCTTTTGGGAAAGAAGACTGTCGGAATTATTCTGGAGTGAAGGTATCTTCCAACAGCTCACCACAAATTTCATTTTCCAGAAGTTCCAGTAGGTCTTTACAGGATGATTTTGATGACTCTGAGTTTCCTTGTCCATTTGATGTGGAGTTTGATGAAATGACGGACCCTGGTAGCAGGTAATGCGTGGAATTCATCATGTAAATTGTATTTTTAAATTAACCCTTTTGCATCATTTGTGGACGATTACAATGCATACAATTAATTTACTAATTTTACTTTTAACTTCCTGATGGTATTTTTATCTTGTTTTCTTGAGGATTTGACATTTTTTTAATTGTTCTCATGAATTTGAGAACTGTGGCATCAATTTTTCTGTATTATTGGTTCGGGATTTGATTTGGTTGTTTTAACTTACCCTGGGGTAATTTCTCTGTGCTGCTGTGTCCTATTGCTCAAAATGCTCAAAATGATATAAACTTACGAAAAGGGCTTGTAAGTAAGTCATCATGTGTTTGCTAAGAGTAGTAAATCTCCTTTTTATGTGAATTTTGTCTTGAACTAGTTCTAATCTCTCAAGACGTAATGTTAGCATCACAATTGATGAACTTTATAGGAAACTGAATGATCATTCTTCAGTGAAGAGATTGTTCATTATAAATTTCAATATCTAGCTGGTAGGAGCCCAAGTAGTAGACTATCTGGTTCAGGAATTGGGATATATCATCTATGGACAGTTAACAAATAAAGTTTGCTTTCTAGTTCTGAGAAAGACAACCTGGCTGGCATTATAAATTTCAATATATAGTCCAGGTAGTAGCCTTAGTGGATATCTGGTTCAGGAATTGGGATAAGTACCTGTTTATCATCTATGGAGAGTTACCAAATAAATTTTGCTTTCTAGTTTTGAGAAAGAAAACCTGGCTGGCATTATAAATATCAATATGTAGTCCAGATAGCGGCCATAGTGGAATATCTGGTTCAGTAATCAGTTTATCATCTATAGAGAGTTACCAAATAAAGTTTGCTTTCTAGTTTTTAGAAAGACAGCTTGCCTGGTTAACTTAAGATGTTTAATAGATATGAAAAAGTTCAGCCGTATTACTATGCTGAAGTTTCTAGTGTCAGTTGTATTTAGTAGAAAGCAGGCCAATTTTTGTATGACTTGGCCTTTCTGTTGAGGAAGCCCTAATAAAAACTGCCTTACTTATTCTCATTGTTAATTGGTTGATAAATTAAATTTATTTAAAGATAGGTGATTAAGGGGAGACCAAAAAAAAACTGATGGATTATTAAGAATGATGTGATATTGACTGAAGGATGTGGTGATTGTAGAAATGTTCTATACTTTCCTTCTTGCTTGTCAATAATTCAATCCTTTCATTTTGTTATGAGTTATAGGAAGACTAGCTTGTTAAAAGACAAGATTTGTTTAGGTTAACTTTTTGAAGGTAGCATAGTTGTGCTATTTTTTGTTGGTAAAATGTAATGTTTGTGGACTAATGTCTTGGTGTGGGTGCCCGGCAATGCAAAATTAGGTTTGGTTAATTAATAGGGCCGGTAGTGAATATAAGAGGTCTGTCAGAAACTATTGGTTGATACTTGATTGCTTATGGATATTAATTGATTACTGGACAGATGTCTGATAGTGAGAAAGTCTTGATTGACATGAAGGTTAGGCTTAGAGCTGCTAGATTGATGGTGTGTTTTCCTGGTGTGAACTGTGAAGTTTTTGAAGCAGATATTAATTCTGGCTGGGTGACAAGTTTTGTTGTTTAATCATTTTCTAACCATTTTATAGATCTATTTTCTTAACATTAATGGTCTATTTTGCTTTGAGCTCTGCACCAACATGTCTCTGAGCTCAACTAATTAGCTATTAAGTAGTAACACAAGCCTTCAAAAAATAAATGCAACTCAACTCATGTAAACATCAGTTTAGTTTCTGTTTATTACTTGGGTGATTTGTGAATTCTAACACCAAAGGAAGTCTATTTTTGACATGTAAAAGCAATTGCATGGTTCTGAACTTAATAAAGATTTTTGGTTTGTTTTATATGTTGCCCAATACATTTGCCTTGTAGTTTCAGTAACTTTTATCATCCTTTATTATGATATGGAACTTTCAATCTCTATGTTGTTTTCATATAATGCGGAATATTTTAAATTGCTCAAAGGATCAAACAAATTTTAATTATTGAGATGTTGCAATTATGGATAATTGAGATTTTCATATTTGGATTTTTTGGAGTTGAATTTTCTTTATTTATTTCTCCCTAAGTTCTATTTCTTTCCCCTTTCCCTCTGATTTTCTTCAGATTCTCCATTTTTCCTTGCTTTCCACCCCTGTTCTTCATCATCCTACTTCCCTGTTGTTGAGGTTCCCATGAAATGACTAGTTGGTTTTCTTTGCCCTCACATTTTTTTACTCTCTAAATTACCACCGGCGAAGTCCAATAGTTTTAAAGGTAGTTTGAGTGTGGGACATTTTCTTTTCTGCAATTGTTAGTTGGGAATGTTCCCTCAAGAAAATCCTTTAATCATTTAACCAAAGTAGGTCCTTAATGGAAAATGAGTCATGAAGTTCATCTCCAAAGCCACAATCAGTCATTTAAAGATTTTCTGAAATTGGAGAGAACACCATATATCTTTTATCATGGTTATTTGTCAATATGCTTTCATAATTGGCACAGATGGATTTTACTGAAAATAGCTAGATCTTCTAGTTTTAACTCTGAAATTGGCTGCTTAAAATTTTCTGAATTATTGGGTAAACTGAATTGGCCTGTTTTGCGTACTATGTAGACCTGAGTCTTATGATAGAAGAGGACATCTGTCTGATCCAAATGAGGCAGGTTTGTTTATGAATAGAATATCCCAAGATGCTGCAGTTGGTGCTCTTGTAAGTATGCTGAAGAAAGCCCCTCCACTTCGCCAAGACATCTCCAATTCAATTAATTTTTCAGAAGCCTCAAGGCCAGAAATGTGGAACAACATCATCCAGGAGCAAAATCAGATCTCAGAGGCTGTGACTGTTGAACATGCCGCTTCTTCAAGTATTTCATCTTCTAGGTTTGTTGCATCCAAAACAACTGCTGATGCATTAGAGGAACTTCGGGGTTACAAAGAGATGAAAAACTCGTTGCTTAGTGAAGGTGGTAAGTCTTACACATTTGCTAATTTTGCCTCTGATGCTGAACATTCCAGCAAAGATATATGAGAATAATGAACTTCTGCTATATTGCACATATGTACAGCGTTATGGTTTGAGAGATTACTACGTGCTATGCAGCTGAAGCTATTTTCCCCATTATGTGTAAATAAAAGTGTGTGTGTATATATATATATATATATATATATATATAAAACGAGTTTTGGATAAGATTTATGCTAAAACAGAATGGTTATTTGTTGTCCTGTAAAACTTTGTAAAAAGCTCTTTTCTGTGTAATCTGCGTAGCTGTATATAATTTCTAGATGTTGGCTTGCGGGGGCGCATGCAGAAATACAGGCTACGTATGCACATGGTAGTAAAACATATCTTCACCTTTTATTCACAAGCTCGCTGCTGCTGTCGTCCCTATTGTTTTCCTTTTCCCTCTCCATATTTAGATTTTCGGTAGGATGCTTTAGCTTATTTGATTCCAGGTACAACGTATTGCACCTTTTATGCTCTGGACTGGAAGTGTAATTGCCTGACCATCAGAATTGAAAAGATACGGAGGAGATTGCCTGACCAGCAGAATTGAAAAGAAATCTTAGTCTGATGTTTTATTCCTTTTAATTATTTATTTATACTGTAGAAATCTAAGGGGAAATTATATTGCTCCAGGTTCATTGTTTTCCAGAGTTTGCTATTGAATCTTAATTCGGTGCTTTGGGTTGTTTGTGTTGGGGAAGATTTTCAGGATTTGAAAATAATCTTTTCCGTAAACATCCACCTTTCATTTAACAGAGATTTCATGATAATTACGTGTTGTGTCATAATTTTAAAGAAGAATCGTAAATTTTACATTGATTTTATGATGCAAGTGTTTTTGAAGATTTCATGATAAGCAAATTTACATTTTAAGATTATCCTAATAAAATTTAGTCTCAAAGAACTATACGCTTTCTCTCCACTCTGTCAATTGATCTTATTTTGTTATACTTTACCCACGTATCTTGGGTGCCACGATAAGTATTAATTCAATGGCCTCCAGTCAAGGCCACGTGAGGAAAAAACGAAAGAATGACCTCACTAAATTTATTAAAAAAAAATTTATTACGTTTAGTTGCCATAATGGATTGGGTTATCTTCAATATTAAAGAACAGGAAAATTAGTAAAACTTATTGTAAATCTCCAGTTCTCCGTCGATCAAAACACAAAAGAAATAACTGAACAGTATTATTAAGTCAAACACTAGTAGCCCTCAATTTTTTTTTATTTATTTCCGGCGTTCAAGTACTTAAGCAAAACGGAGAAACAGCCGACGAGCATTTATAGCATGAGGCATGCAAGTGGCAGACGTACTGATTTTCCATGCCTCTGAGCTTTTACTAATTAGTTATGTTCATAGGAGGGCAGTAGTCATAATCATCGACATCGTAACCACATGGCCGGCAGCGCTCATGATAATGATGACACCTGCAGTCATAGTTATCAGGAGGGCAACGTGGTGGAGGCCAGTGTCGCCGTGGTGGTGGTGGTGGAAGCTCTGGAGTAGGTGGTGGTGGTGGTGGTGGTGGATACAATATAGTGGGTGGAGATGGTGTGCAGAGCGGAGATGGCGGAGGTGATCTTGGTATAGGTTTGGGTTTGGGTGGGTTTAACTGACATGGTGGTAGCAAACGTTCATATCTGGTATAGGGTGGACAGTATATACGGTGTGAGGTGAGTGTGGAAGACGGAAACGAAGCAAGATAAACAACAACAACAACAACAAAAATAGCAACTGCCCTTTGTCTTTCCATATCAATTTACTGCAAATTAAGTTTCAGTGATGCTAATGCTATATATAGGCAAATCCCTGACGCTGCTGGTTCTATTGATTGTTTTCTGTACACTACTCTTCTTGGATATCTAAGTGGGTTTTATTATTTATCAAAGTTTCCGTGTCAAAAAAACAAAGTCAAATGGTAGCAGTACGTGGTAATGCTGAGTGGAGAGTGTGCTGTCGATCATTTATTTTCATCCAACAAGGAATGATTATGAAACATTGGCTTATGTCAGTGCGAGGCAGTAATGAGTTGGGGTGTCAAGTATGGAAGCGGAGTTGCGTGGTAAATTATTAGTAGTCCGATTTATGATGATGATGATTAATGTCTGGACAATATTGGCCACGTCGAGCACAACTGAGCTAATGCGACTAGAATGTGAAAAATATCGTTTCTACTAAGCTTTAAATCTGGTATACTGATAATGATATCAAAATCAATAACAAGATCTTTCTAGAGAAGTAGAGATCCTAAAATCTTTTGAGTTATTTGACATCCTAGAAAGATTTAAAGGGTAATAGGGTTGCTGATAAAGTCTGTAGAAAATATATTTTCATCAACAGTTTTGAAGAAGGTTTTCTGTTTTATCCAAAAGTGTTTGGGTAAGACAAAGGGGTTTGCTATAGTTTGGGCTGCACCAGTATCAAAGAAAGTTGTGACTGTTATAGGAGGGGAATGTTTGTGAGTGAAGATCTGTACTGCAGCTAAGGGTAATTTTGGAGGTTGAAGGGTTTGGATTTTTTTAAGTTCTTGAACTGACATATACTCATAACATTGATCATCTGTGAAATCATCTGAGTATTCTGAGTAGTCTGAATTTGCATACTCATCATCATCAAACTGTTTAATCATAAACAAGGATCTTTCATTCTGCTCATCATCAAGGGAGAAAATTGATTCAAGATCATCATCTGAGAGATTGATACCTGAAATAGTAGCAATATCTTGGATCATCTTGACTGACTTTTTGTCTGACTTTGAGCAATTCTTTGAAAAATGTCCTGATTTTTCACAGAGAAAACATTTTGAGCTTTTGATCTTTGGATCTTTCTTCTTTTTGACAAATTTGAATCTTTGAAATCTTCTAGGTTTATCAGCATATCTGAAGAACTTCTTATGTCTGGGTCTGGAGATTATTGGAGCTCTGGAAGGTCTGGAGGAAGAAGGTTGAGAACTAGAATTGCGAAGAGTGGATAGATCCATGAAAATAAGACTTGACTAAGACATAAAGTTAATGAAGACTTGACATAAGGTTGTCTTGATGTGAAGGCATCATTATCAACTTCTGTGGAGTCTTCTGAAGCATCACGCATAATTATACAATATTGGACTGGAACAAGAAATCTTCTCTCCGATAGCACCATCATTTGAGAGAACGTTGAGTGTGTTCTGGAGAGAGGTTGAGGTGTGAATTATCTGCGCCTGGTGTGAAATTATAGCCGATGTTTTCAACCATTGATCTGGATCAAAATCATCAAGTGGGTCTTGAGAATCTTGCCATTCCATTTGTGGTATAACTTCAGGAGGTTTCCAGTAAGGATTTCATTCTACCGGGCCTGAGGTATGAGGGATCTGGAACAGGTGTAGAAAATGGAACTGAGGATGAAAACCAATGGGTTTGAGACCATGATCACCTTGTTTTCTGATGAGGATAGCCTGCATTTTGTAGATGAGATCATGAGTACGTCTTTCAAGTGTCTTTTTGGCAATGATCTGCTGGATTTCAGAAGGTAGATTGTGAACGGGAAAAACTGGTTGAAAATTTGGATTTGGAACAAAGGGTTTGTATTTTGAGGTGTAAAGGTAAGGGAAGAGAAAAGGATTGGTGACCGTTTAAGGAACAGGGTCAAAAGAAGGTAAAGGTAAAGGTAAGAAAGACATCATGCAAAAGACTGGAATAACCTGCAAAGTGTTTGAAGGAGGTTTCGAAGGAGGTCTTGTGAGCATATCTGGGATGAGATTATCTTTGCCTTTTATATGTGCAGTGGTGAAGGAGTACTGTGAGAACCACTGTGATAACCTGAGTAACTGTGCATTTGACATTTTTTTCTTTTTGAAATTGAGCATCTGATCAAAGGCTGACATATCCAATTCTACGAGAAAGTGAAATCCAATGAGGTGAAATTCAAATCTTTGGATACCATACTTTACAACTAAAATCTCTTTTAGTGTAGAGTGATAATGGAGTTTCAAATCTTTGAATTTTCCGCTTTTGTAACCACAGATTTGTCTGGTTCCATCTTTTTCTTCTAAAAGGATTGTTGACCAGAACTGTTCACTAGCATCGGTCTGCAATATTCTTTTTCCATCTGATGGAATCTTTAAAGTGGAAAGTGACTTTGCTTTTATCTTCAAAACTTGTATTGCATTTGTCTGGACTTAAACCACGTAGGTGGTTCTTTTTTGAGCATCTATCTGAGTGGATGTGTAAGCTGGGCAATATCTGAGAGAAATTCATTCATGTAATTGATTATGCCGAGAAATTGCTAGATCTGCTTCTTTGAGAGATTTACATCAGGAAAATTTGTAAGTGATTGAGTAATATGAGGTTGAGCAATGTACTGACCATCTTTGAGATGCATGCCTAGGAAATCAATTTCTATGGCACCAATGATCATCTTTTTCTCTGAAAGCATCCTATACTGTTGAACAATGCGCTAAAACTTATCCAATAACTGTGCATGAGAGGTGTCATCAGGAAAGAACAGTAAGATGTCATCAATGTAAATCAAGGTATTATCAAGAATTGGAGCAAATATCTTGGTCATGGCTTTTTGGAACAGGGAAGGCGCAACTTTTAATCCAAAAGGCATTACGGTCCACTGGAAATGGTGTTGAGGAATGCAAAACGCTGTTTTGTATCTGTCCTGTGGATGTATACTTAGTTGCCAAAATCCTGCTTTGAGATCAAACTTTGAGAAGACTTTTGCATTTGCCAAATTTACAAACAAAGTTTTTCTACCTGGAAAAGGAAACTTATCATCTGCAAGGAAAATGTTAAGAGGCTTGTAATTGATTACCAATCTTAATTTTCCACGAACTTGTTCTAAATGTTTGTTGACATAAAATGCTTCACACGCCCATGGAGAGGAGGTTGGTTCAATTAATCCTTGAGCCTGGAGAAGGGAGCATTCTTGGATTGCTTGCTTGAAATGATATAGGTTCATGCCTGAATGACTAGCTTTTGTAGGATTGGCATTTTCATCTTTTTTGAAGGGAAGGGAAATGAAAAATTTTGGGTTTTGCCAAAGTAGGTGATCACATTTCTGGAAGAAATCTGAGTGAGTTTCTGCACACGAAAAGTGAATGAACTTGTGTTTGAAATCTTGAAAAACATATGGTTGAATGGTTAAGGTGAAGAGGTTAGGAAGGTTTTTCCAAGGTCTAAAATAACTTTCAAACTTGATACCGTTTTCACTAAGCTTTAAACCTGGTATACTGGTAATGATATCAAAACCAATAACAAAGTCTTTCTGAGGAAGTGGAGATTCTAAAATCTTTTGAGTTATTTGACATCCTGAAAAGATTTGAAGGGTAACAGGATTGCTGATAAAGTCTGTAGAAAATACATTTTCATCAGCGATTTTGAAGAAGGTTTTCTGTTTTGTCCAAAAGTGTTTGGGTAAAACAAGGGAGTTTGCTATAGTTTGGACTGCACCAGTATAAAAAAAAGCTATGACTGTTATAGGAAGGGAATATTTGTGAGTGAAAATCTGTACTGGAGCCAAGGGTAATTTTGAAGGTTGAAGGGTTTTGATTTTTTGGAGTTCTTGAACTGACATATGCTCATAACATTGATCATCTGTGAAATCATCTAAGTATTCTGAGTAGTATGAATCTGCATACTCATCATCATCAAACTGCTTAATCATAAACAGGGATCTTTCATTCTGCTCATCATCAAGGAAGAAAATTGATTCAATATCATCATCTGAGAGATTGATACTTGAGATAGTAGCAATATCTTGGATCATCTTGACTGATTTTTTGTCTGACTTTGGGCAGTTCTTTGAAAAATGTCCTTGTTTTCCACAAATAAAATATTTTGAACTTTTGATCTTTGGATCTTTCTTCTTTCTTACAAATTTGAATCTTTGAAATCTTCTGGGTTTATCAGCATATCTGAAAAACTTCTTATGTCTGGGTCTGGAAATTATTGGAGGTCTGAAAGGTCTAAATCTTCTGAAATGCTTCTTTTTCTTGTTGCTGCAAAAACATGTGAAATCTTTGAAAGAACATTTGATTTGAAGTCCTGAGGAGGAGTAAGAACAAGGCTTTTCTAGCTTGTTGGAGTTGTGCACCAAGGTTTTGATGTATTTGTGCTCTTTGCAAATCTTATCAAGAGCTTTCAGCATCATTTGTAGATTTCTCCAAGGTAATAGATTTAACATCAAGAGATCTGAAATTCAACTGGGTTTTTATTTACTGGGCAAGTTCTTCTGAAACAGAATTAAGAAATGCTTGCTTTAAGTTGACATCATCGAAGCCACCAAATATGTAGAAATACTGAGAGAATTGTTGATAGTGTCTATCAAGGTCTTTTGGATGGAGAGAACAACATTTAAGTATGAAGAATTGCTCTCTGATCTTTTCTAACCTGTGAGTTTTTTGTCCACAAAAGATTACTGCAAATTGAGAGACAACGTCTGTGATTGTTGGGTATTGAAGAAACTGGAGTTGTCTGTATTCACCAATGTTGTCCCAAAAATTTTTCAGAGTTTCAACTAGTTTGAAAATAAATCTGATCAAAATTTTGTTCATCGTAACATTGGGATGAGAGTTTAATTCAACGAGTCCTCATGTTAAGAATTTTTGAAATCTTGAGAGCCATTTTGAAGAAAGAACATCATCAATGGTAAAAACTAAGAATTTTGATGTTGAAGGAAGAGCATGTGATTGTTGTGGAGGAAGGTGTTGTTCAACATCCATTGCATCAGGGTTATGAACTTCTGGAGTATCATCTGAAACTTCAACTGTTGGTTCTGTCATGAAAATCTAAAGGAACATCATTTCATCTGAGTCATCAGTATCATCTGTGTCAATTGATTCATCTGATTTGACAATGTCCATGTGAGATTCAATCTCAAAGGTAGAGGAAAAAATATCTTCAAGGAAGAACTGAGGAAGGTTGTCTTGTGCCATCTGGTGAAGTATTTCTGAAAGGGTTTGTATAGGAGAAATCATAAGTTGTACAGGTTTTTGGGTTGGTTGTGTAGGGTTTTGAGGTGTGAAACTTGAGCTTGGTTTTGATTTTAAAGGTTGAGAAAGTGGTTGTTCTGCTACTCGTTTGGGTTTTAGATCAACTGGTTGTTCTCGAAATTTGTGAATCCATTTTTGAGTTGTACCAAAAGAGGGTTGATCTGATTGGTCTGAGATAAGAGTGAAGTATTGTGTTGGTTGTGAAGATGTTGAGATAGAGGTTGGGGGAGGTTTGTACTGAAAAAGTCTGAAAAAAAATTTTGGAGGTGAGGTTGGAGGATTGTATGGTTGAAATGAAGGAGGAGTATAGGCTTGGTAAGGTGTATCATGCATACCAGTGTGATATGGTGTGAAGATGTTGTAACTAGAGGCTGCTTGTTGTTGTTGTTTCTGACGAAACTGATTTTGAAGGTCTGCAAGTTGAATCTTTAGGCTCTTCATTTCTTTCTCTCGTTCAGTGAAAGCATAAGTGAATCCAGTGTTGGTTTTAACCATGTATCTGAGTTCTTGATCAAGTGTGGTTATCCTTGACTGAATTTCAAGAATAATATTTTGGAGATTGACAAGGCTCTGATCAAAATATTGACTGACTTGGTTCAACTTATGTTCGATTCTGTGCAGGTATGAATTCTGCTGGAGAGAATTTTTAATCTGCCAGTTTAAAACTGCTTCAGCACAAGAAACACTTTTTTGATTTCCATATTCATCTCTGTCAGTGAGAGTGGGGATTTTTGGAATGTGTTTATATTGGTCTTCATGAAATTCTTCAAAAGAAAGGAAATTTGAGCTTTGGTAGGTTGGTTGCATCATGGAAATTTGTGGTAATGATGTGGGTAAAGGTTGGGTGGAATTTTAGGAGGAATCTGGTTTTTGTGTGGGTTGAGTTGAGTAGGTTGGAGGGTGTGGTTTGCCTTTCTTAGGATAGATGACATAATAGTCAAACTTTCCTGAGGGTTCACCAAAGAGATCAACTTCAGGGTCTCCATTTTCATATCTTTTTTGAGCTTTTGCTAGGAAGACTTTTTCTTCTTTTGCTTCTTTGGAATATCATCATCATCATCCAAAAAACTTTTATCTGCATCTATCTGGCATTCTTTGCATTGACAATTTATGTCCTAATAGCAGTGTCTTTCTGGAGATTTATATGCATACATGAGATTTTCATTGGACTGAAAGTGTGTGACTGGAACATTAAGGAGATCAGCATGGCATCTTTGCATCATAAATTGTGTTGGAAAGATTGTTGGAGGAGGAACATCTTTTCCTTTGCTGTGATCAAATTCAATTGTAACAGTACCATCTTGATTTGTCTTATAGGTTGGATCAAAGTGTTCAATTGGTTCATCTTGCTTTCAAATCTTTTGATAACTTGTCGTCTACGTCTTTGAGAGAAGGGTGGCAAGTTCTTCATTGGAAATCTGCTTTGGAATATGAACATGTTTAGGAGTTCTGTCTGTCGTTTCCATTTTAACAAAGACTGCATCACTGGAGTGTGAAAGAGGCAAGTTAATGGCATAATCTTGAACTCTATATGCCATCTGATAGTGAAGGGTTGCCTGGAGGCCTTTCATTTCTATGCCTACGATCTAGACTTAAACTTTTAAAACATCTAACAGGGTTGGATCATGAAGAGACATTATAATTTGAGAAGACTGTGAAGAAGACAGTTCCTGCATTGAGTATCGTCTTAACGATTCCAAGGACTGCATGCTTGTAATCTTTAAATCTGGTGTCCAATAAGGCCATTCTGGAACAGACAGGAATTCCATTTTTGCCCTGAAAAGTTAAGGCGATTCTGATAGCACCAAAGTGAATGTGAGTGTATCCTTGTCCTGACCACTGGTGAGAAAATTCTTCTGGGATCTGAAGAGTAACAAAGTGCTATTGAGGTCCTGCTGGAAGAATACATTGATCAAAGTTTGTGGCTTGAACATACTCTTTTGGAGCTGGATATTTGGGTTTTAAAAGAGTTTTTAAAGATCTAGTAAGAGAAGGGGAGGAGCTTGAGAAAGCTGTATAAGGATTTACAAGAGGTAGAACTGTTTGTTGGGTTTTCTTTTCTTCTGAAATGTAATCTACTTCATATAAGAACTTAAGCTTAGAAGAAGAGGATTTTTTAATTACAGGAGATGGAAGAGAGGATAAACTAAAAGAAGATCTGGAGGAAGAAGGTTGAGAACTAGAATTGCTAAGAGTGGATAGATCCATGAAAATAAGATTCTCTTTTGGCTTTTCCTTTTCCAATTTCAATAATCAAAACTTTAGAAACATGACTTTCTTCTCGCTATCTTGGCAAGCTGCAAGCTCTGATACCATTTCTATACACAGCGACAGATAGTACGACTAAGGCTCTGGCAACTGACACGGTTTCAGTTTCGGGCTCTCCGGGTGGTAGAATCCTAACAATACTATCTGGTACTATGACAACAACGTGTAGATCGATCAAACTTGACAAGATAATACCAACCATAAGCTTTCCATAAATCAGACATATAACCAAGGTATTCTAGCCAGTGTGCAAGACTCTAGCGCCGTCTTGGCTTAATGTCGAACTGGGGGCCTGACTTTTATGGAGATATGTCTTTCACTATAGTAACTTACTATTAGTATGATCTTAGGCCGGTATGACTTTTCTTTGGTTGAGGGAAAGGGATCAATGATCTGTTTAACAGATTAACAAGAGTTTCTGATGCAGAGGATCCATAATAATATGGCAACTGCAGAGCATACTCAACTTGTATCACTGCAAACTTTGAATAGCTTAAAGAGAAGCATGAAGCTAAAAGATGTAACTATGGAAAAAAGGAAGATGGAATCACCAAAAGAGAAGAGAGGTTTTTAGTCAAACATATTTTATAAAGGAAGGTTTTGTTACAGGGGATTTTCTGTGATAGGTTATGGATGATTGCTAGAGTTTTTCGATGATTGCTAGATTGATGATTACTTCCTAGAGGAGTATCATGCTATTTATACAAGGAAAAAGTAAAGGACTAGTAGCCTAATAAGACAAGACTAGGACAAAGCAACTTTACAAGTGGCTTAGTATAAAGCTAAAGGACGGTGAGTCATAACTATGGTACAATGACTCATTACTATGGTACAATGACTTATTATTATGGTACAGTGACTCATCACTTATGGTACGATTACTCATCACTATGACTCATACTAAAGAAAAACAACTCTAATATTAGACCTATATTAGTATGCAATTGCTTATCACACTGTCAGAGATAGATGAACTAGGAATTCAAAGAAGAATAAAGAGAAACAATGAAAAAAAGAAATAACTGACAGCAGCATTTAAGATGCAGAGTCCCATGAACTTCCGTAACAGGAGGCCAACTTCAGTCTACTTGCAAAATACATTATTGTTAAATAAAGCATCATGTCAAAACCTGAAATCTGTCCAATTGTTTTGGACATTACAGAAAAATTACCAAAAAAAAAAAAACAAAACAAAACAAAAAAAAAAGATTAAACTCCTTCCCGTCCAGAGACTTGGATGACCAACCATGCAACTCATTCTTCTGGCGAATCAGAGCGGATAGCTGATATTAAACCAACAAGGCATATCATCAGAATACAAGTCATTGACGGGCAAATAATGATATCAGCAAAGTTTAGTCTGAAAAGGGATTAAAAGAACACAAGCAGAAAATTGACCAAATCTTGCCTGAGATTACTATTGGTTTTCAGATGGAATTACAGGCTATGACAATAGTTGGGTAAGATACAAAATCACAGTTCAAAGTTTGCTGAAAGTACACTAATTTTCTTGTATGTCGCAATATCTACAATTATTCCCTTAGGTCTGGAGAGCACTAGTCAAATGTCACTTGATGATGAAAGTATTCTACATATCTTTTTAACCATATGGTCAGCATATACTCACGTATGACTTCACATATGTCATGATCCAAGAGAAGAAATGTAAGTGTTGCTAAATACAAAAAGATAAATGTAATTTGATCAAAGGACAAAGCGTTTTTGGCTATTACCCTGATAAATAATGTCTGACAATGAAAGTAACACAAAGGGCAAAAGGAAATATGCAGAGACTGAGCAAATCATATAACCCCGTACAGCAAATAAAGGAGCAAGTTAATGCACATAGTTATTAGAGATCTGCGGAAGATAGTAAACCAGACTTCCCTTTCTTATATAAACCCAAGTAAAGATAGAAGCAATATAGGACAGCATGAATATGATTTGCAGGCATTGCCCAAATGACGTAGGGTTCACACCCAACTCGCAAATAAACTTCACGACTTTAACATCCTATGCTAAATGGAATTCCAAAACAATAGGTGTTCAAAAAAGATTTAAGCTGTCTAGGACCATGGTCCCCTCAACAGTTATTTCACTTATCCAATATTAAGCAATGGAAGCTAGCTACTTGAACATCCCACAAAATTCTCTCAACATAAAAGGCAAGATGTTTTCTATCTCACAGAAAATAAAGTTAATCACACAAATTCTATACACTTAATCCCTGATGGATAATATCAAGGACACTAAGAAGGCTGGCTTGTTGTAGACTTAAAAAAATAGACCAATGCGTCGAACTACTAAACCAGTGACAAAGGTCATTTATCAGACCTAATTCGGATCCATACGTGTAAAAACTCAGTTGCCCTGAGTGGGGTTTGAGCAACTTGTTTAAACTAGCTATGTCAAGTAAACCCAAAAGAAATGAGTTTGTGTGATCAAGCACTATATTAAAGAATTTTATGTCAAAGTCCACTTCAAAAGTAATTTTTAATCAGCCCAAGTGCTCCAGCAAACGAAGAATTTGGATGCTAGAATGTCTTCAAAATACTAGCTAAGAGCGGCTCAAGATTAGCAACCATATTTGGCAGATGCAAAGGACAAATTTCTGGAACAAATACCCAATTCTTTTTTTTTCTACAAAAATTAACAATCAAAAGTGCAAGATTAAACAGATTCATGACAAAAATGAACCAATTCCAGCTTAACAGATTAGTTTTAAAATTAAGCATAAGCAGCAGGGGCCAATGAAACCCCCCGATCTGTATGAAGAAGAAGGAAAGGGGACATACCGGGCTTTTCAGGCTTTCCATCGGTCCACTTGGAGATGGAGAAATGGACTTTCTCACGAGAAAGGGCCTCGGTCTTATAAGGTTCCTTCAAGCAGTTTCTGACGAGATTGGCGCATATGTTCGAGTAGGTGATATACGTCATGCCGGCTGCACGCCAGAACGGAATCGCCCCGTTCGACGCCATTTTCCTCTTTCTTTTTGTTGTGTTGCGGCTGCAAAGCCTACGAACTGTGGAAAATAGGAGAGATGTTCCTTCTTCTTCTTCACTTTTCAGCAACCGATGCCCAATGGGGGTATTCGCTTGGTCTTTGGTTTTGGGCCTCTAGGTTGGGCTTCATTACATTTTCATTTTGGGCTATGCACGGGGCTGGGACAACCGATAAAAGTTGGGCTCCGATGTGTCCTAAAAGAATGAGCACTGCGCCCTTGAAACATCAGGGTTCAAAGATCTATTCAGCAAATCTCTATTATTATATTATTATTATTATTAGAAGTTTTACCATCTAATTTGCACAAAGATTTGGCCGCATGAAAAAAGAATTGTCGTTTAGACAGCAAATCCTGAGAGTCAAAATCCGCAAATATATTACAAGTTTGACATGGAGAGTCAGGTTCCATCTCCTCTACAACATCATAAATCCACATTTTATCGATAAAACTATAACAATGGAGCAGGCAATGCTGACAAGAAAAGTGCATTTTCCCTAAGTTTTAGATGTTGAATAAGCAATCAATTACAACAAAGTCTCTTAACTACAGCTAGTAGAGTGGCTGCCTCCAATATCCATCCGAACATCACTGCTGATGTGAATCCTTCCGATACGAGCACAAGTATAAAAGCTAAAGTTTGTGATGGAGGATGGATGATGTAGATTTCAAGTGAGTATATCTAACAAGTAGCAATCCCTGGGTTACTGCAGAGAATTACCTCACATATGAACAGGCACAAATCCGTAGGAGCTTTGTCCTCAAGTCCATCTATAATCACTTGATCTTTCTGAGAGTATTAACGTAGGTATAACTGGAAAATGAAACAAAAAGCTTACGGAACCTGCAAGACCAACACTCAAAAAATTAAGAAAATATATTTCAAGAATATATTCGGAACATGCTATATAATGTTCTAGAAAGAAAAAATGCTGAATCAAGGAGATGATGAACAGACCTATTTTATGATTAATCTAAGAGTAATATTCATAAAAAAACACAAAAGTTAATTTCTCAAGAAAATGAGAAATGGTGTTGATTTATTTTCATGACAAAACCATTAGTGATGTCCTATCAATTCCTTTAGAATTTATTAGGAAGCACACAGACCAAACCCATTGGCTTGAGTGTTGCGCCATTGCAAGGAAGCTCTTCCGTGGATGCTCATTAAGCAAGCAATGCATTACCCCTTTAGGATGTCGCGTGGAATCTAAAGTTGACAACCAAATGTCAAGTGGTCCACTATACTTGAGCAAAATGTTGATACTCACCTAAAAGCAAACAGAGGCAAAAGGGAAGAATTGTCATAAGTCAGAGAAAAGAACAAAAAGGGGAAAACCCACAAACAATATAACATGTCAAATCATATAAAGGAGAAAAGTTTATTAACGCCACTGTAAGTTTGTTCAAGGGTTCTTTCTCCTTTGCTGCCTAGATGCAACAACTTGGCCAACAACCTCTAACTTCTACAGTGACTGAACAAGAGAATCATTGGATTGGAATCCAGAGATGAAAGAAATAAAATAGTTTTGACTCGAATGTAGATCGTAGGAAAGGGGAGAATAGACAAGAAAGAGTTCAAAAGTGGCCAAATTAGAAATTAAATAGTTTCGACTTGAATGTAGATCATATGAAAGGGAAGAATAGACAAGAAAGAGAGTTCAAAAGTGGCCAAATTAGTGCTAGTAAACTTTGATCATGCAAAAACTAGTTAGGTAAAATTGTATAAGAATTGAAAGTGATGTTGTATTTCAGGAAGGCAAAGCTTGTATATGTCAACATGGACAGAAGAATTTATAAGATATAAACCAGAAACCATTCATGTTTACCTCTTCTTGCCCTATTGCTATTTTAACCTTTATGATCAGCTATGGACTAGTGGTAAATAAAATTTTCAGGGGCTTACCAAAAAAAAATTCAGGGCATATCAAAACCATGAAATTCTATACAGCTAAACAATCTAGGGAAAAAAATGGAACTTAGATTTGAAAATGAAGTTTGTCAAACAAATGAAGCAAAATTTTCATCAGTCACTCCTTCCAAATTCAAAACTCAGCTTTGAACCAAATTAGCAACAATGAAAAATGAAAAAAAAAGAAACTCAAATGAAAATTAGAAAAATTATTTAGCTGAGCACATGAGCCAATGATATCTTTAACAGGATATATAAAAATAAGGTAGCAAGGTAACTTACAAGTTCCCAGGCTTCGATATTTCTTGGTGAAGAATCATGCAAGAACTTGCTGTGCATACAAGATAAAGAATATATAAAAAGATTTAGAAGATATTTTATGGGGATAAATAGTATCAAATGATAGCTTAGAAATGGCCAAGAACAGATTATGCATTGCGTGTTCCGTATGATATAACACATGGACTCTATCTAGAAAAGCATTCTGTTAATGGTGGAAATAATAGAGCCTAGAGGACCAGATACAGGAAGCATAAATGTTAAGCCCTTGCATATTAAGAGCTCTCAGCATTAAATAGTTACATCACAGCAGTAGTACATTTTATTTTATGTTAATGCCACATGTGCTATGAGGCAACAATTAAAAACTTTACTTCTGTGCAATTGAGTCGAAAAACATAAAATGTTTTAACTTACCGTACCCCATAATGCACATCACCATGGTTGCAATGACCAGAAACACCATAGCTATCAAATGTAATAAGCTGAAAAATAAATAAAAATGGGAATAAGAGATAGGAAATAAGAGATCTATATCATACAAAGATGCGAACTCACAAGTATTAACAGAAAGTCAGAAACCTATCCCTTCAAATGACGCTTACCAGTCTCTGGTACAAACATATCTAAACCTAAACTTGGAAATTTCATGCAATAATCTTGGCAAAACAATCAACTTAAATGAATTGAAGGAGCTAGGAATGCACCACATCAATGCCATGACTGTAAACCTCCTCTTCAATAATCTTTGCCAATAAATCATGGTTCCAGACTTTGCCAAAACCATCCTGTCATCAAAAATCAGATTACAAAGTGAATTCCTTTTAAGTCATTTTATCAATTAACAGGTAGATCCAAGATTAGCTGATACTGGCACTATAAACAGTTAAACAAGTTTTAATTTTTTAGTTACAGCTGAAAAAGCATCAGTTTTCCAGCTTCAAACACACCAAATTCTAAATATAAGGGTCCAAAAGCTAAAATAAAGACACTTAAAGACTATAACCTGCAAATCCGGGTGGTCCAAAACCTTCACTCGTTGAAGTTGAACCTGCATTTACAAATTTAAAACAGTTAAAAGCACCATAAACTATGATAGATAAAGTTGAAAACAGTAAAGAAGACAAGAGACACAAGGTTGTCTTGTAGCTAGATAAAAACAGGATCAGGTTGTTGCAGGCATTACAACACATAGATTACTTAAGCAGTTAAACCCCAATTAAGCTGGCACGATAATAACAACACCTTGTGAACTGCGCAAGCAAGATAGAGCTCATCTTTTCTAATGCTTCCCATGCCATCTGCGTTACCTGCATAAAGAAAATGAAGAATAATAACAAATTCCATTCACATAATCACATGGGTGGGGAAAGAGGAACACTTTATAGTAGAATGCATAACAAGGTTTCTGTTTCTGACCCCTACCATATTCTTTTCCCTTTTGACAGGACATAGAAGGTGGCTGGACAGATAATCCATGGTAATACCAAAAAAATTCCCACTTGGCAAAGGAAAATGGATTAACCACCATAAGCGAAAAGAGGAGAAATGAGAGTGGCATCTCTTCTGAAGTAGATTATATTATTAGTACATATCCCGAGGTATTGAGTTAGCTAGATTACATAATTATTGCTAAATTAGCATTTCCTGAAGTAGCAATACGAACAAAGCAGCAGGTGAAAGAGATTGGTTTCAATAAACCTTCTTTAAACAACTCACAGTTTTAGTGATCCCTTAAAATATCTTTTGATGCTTAAGTTCCTTGAAAGATAAGACAAACAATCTCTAGGGATACCATCCTTGACCTTAAAGCCTCAGATGTAGCAATCGTAATCGTATCAATAGACCAATTTGAAAATAAGAGGCATATTTTGCTTATCAACAGACTCCATAATTCTTTTGCAGTTAAGCAGCTATGATCCTATACTTTCTCCTTTAATATAAGACCTTTTAGCAACAAAAGTAGAATTTTATGCGGATATTAAGGAAAGACACAAAATCACCTGAATGAAATTGCTTTGTTTAGACATGATATAGCAATAGTAATTATCCAGTCAGATTTTACAAATGTACACAAAAGAGAAGTCCCTTCAACCAAATCCAGGTTCTACATTAAACATTTACTTACACAGAGATGAAGGCTCACATCATTTGAAGCAAAAAAGATTTAGAAGCAAAGATTTCTAGACACAAAAAATACTAAATGGTAACAAGATCAGGCCACATAAAGGATGAAAATGCAATACCAACAGACAAGCATAGTAGGTAAAGATTGTGCCCTCTTGAAGTCAAGTAGCTAATTGTTGGTGAAAAGAACCTGCAACAGAATACAAAAACACCACAACATCAAATTGAATTGATTCAAATAACATAAAATGCATCATAAAAGACATCTTAACATTGAAAGCTTCATCATTTGCCTGCAAGATCCAAGCTGTCAGTTGTATCACAAACAAACAATTTCCAAGATAAATTGTACTGATATGATGGATAAATTTACTTTACATTTGCTTATAGTTCTAACAGCTTCCATATTTCAGAAAGCAAACCTCCCAAGTGAAAGGCCAATTCACTGTGATAAATGGGAAAATTAAAGAGTTTTTGAAAAGCTTACATTGATTCGTCATCAGGGTGAGCAACAACCAGCAAGACATTTCTCCTGTGAAAAGCTGGACCTGGTTTCAACTTTCAATGGGTAAATAAACATTAACTGAAACATTATTATAAAAAAATTGTAAAAAAGTTGAACCAACCATCATTTAAAAAGGTGGGTTTAGAGTGGGAGGAGAAGATCTTGCAAAGAGAAGCTACCCAGACGACGAAAATTGATATGATAATCAACATCCATCCCATCTGCAATCAACCTTCCTAAAGAAAAGGAAGAGCGAAAAAGAAAGCCCAAGAAGAAAAAATTTCACGCTATATTAATCCGACAAGACGTAAAAGAAGGACAATATAATCAGGCCTTGATAGAAATACAGATTCAAAGTCCAATCAACCAGAAAAAGTAAATGGAAGAACATAAAAACAAATTAATAAACCAAAATTATCTATACATATATATATATATATGCACACACACACACACATATAGGCACAAATGTAAATTAAAATATAATTTAATATTTATAAAATAAAATATATTATAATTAATTAACATTTTATTTATTGTTATTTCTAATTAGACCTGTTAAAAGTCAGATTAGTTGTCTAAACTATCTGAGTTTTAAGAAAGTTTAAACAAAAAATTAAAACTCTTTAAACAGATATGAGCATAACTTGTAAATCGGTTTAAATTTGCAACCCTCATCTTCCTCATCTGAAACAATGTCATTTCCTGGTAGCTCCAATTTCCCACCCATACAAAATGATGGTCCCAAGCTTTCAGATTCAATATAATCACCCTGCAATCTCTCTTCAAATCTTTGGTCACTACAGTTTAAGAACCAATTCAATGAACACCTGATTCCCTTGCTTTGTAACTTAAGGTACCTGGGTTTGATCCTAGATTCCAAGCTGTAAGTAAAGTACACTGGAAACTCCACGAGCTCTTTCACTGGCCTCCCCATCTCACTTTTGAAGTAATAATAGCTTTTCTTCATGAGCTCAATTCGTAGTGCAACCAATTGGGGACATTTCATAAACATCTTTGCTACATCATCTAATGGCAGTTCCCGCCCCAAAAGAAGCTCTATAGGCTTCTTAAGCACATTTTGATTGAGGCTAGCAATCTGTGGCATCTTCTCAATAACACGAGCAAACCCATCTGGATCAATCTTGAGCTTCAAATTAAAGAAATACTGTAGTGTAGACAACTTAGCTTTCAAAGGTAACCCCAGAATTTGCAGATACTGTGCTATAACCGAAGCAATTGCTACCCTCCTTATTCCAAAACTAATCAAGCAATCAACATTAGGCTTAACAGTTTCTTCAAGATCATAACCAAGTATATATGCCCGTTTCTCCAACATTCTAGCCAAAATCTTCTTCGGCAGTCCCAAAGAAACCAAGTAATCCACAAGTGGCTTAATCACAGTCCCAACTCTCATCCCTAGAAAATATGGATATTGCGTCACCATAGGGCCAGTATCTCTAGGACTAACTCCAATGCTCACTAAGTAAGCAACCGAAGTACTCATTGTCCCTTCAAGCTTAAACCCCAACAACTCCAGGTACTTCTGTAAAACATATCCAATATCCTGCTTCTCCACATCAAGCCCCCTAAGAAACTTAATAACAGAAGCAAGCTCAACAACCACACTTGTGGATAATTCTTAACAAACTCCCCTAGTTTCGACTTAGGAATTCCAATTTTTTCCAAGTAACCTAAGACAGGTCTCATGTCTTTACGCACACTACAACCAAGCATTAAAGGGTATCCGCTGATATCATCAACAGTTAATCCAAGTATCTGTAAAAACTCAACACGCTCAGACATAACCTCAACAGTAGAGGGGAATTCTAGATTCTCTAATTCATCGGGGATTATTCCTAAGGTTTTAAGATAATCACATATTTTGACACGGTTAACCAGCTTCTCTTTTTTCCCTTGAACAACACCCCAAGTGACAGAGGGCATTTCGTACTAGGGGAACTTGGTGGATTGAGATGAGTACTGAGAAACCCCTTCAACCCTTAAAGGGTTTTGTACCTGAGCACATGGGTTTTGGAGGGTTCTGTGTTTTGGCAACTTTGATGGAAAACAAAAGAATTTTTTAGGATTTTTAGAGCTTTTTGCCTTTTGATGAAGAGCTGACGAGTTCATATCAAAGATGCAAATTTTGTTAAATGAAAATGAAGATATTGATTTACCGGTAAAAAAATTTTTGATACTTGTAAATAAGAGATGTAAAAGAGATCGCTTTGGCTTACCTCAATACTGCTGCTACTAATGGAGATTACCCAAGGGAAGGCTTTGCTGTTGCAGGTTTTGTTTCTCAGAAGGGGGAACGGCCGCTCGTCGGTCCTAATAGTTGCGCCGTCTTCATGTTTTTCCTGTCCTGTCGAACTATCTTTATATATTTTATGATTTTATTTGTGATTATAATAATAAATATTATTATCATCATTATTTAGTCACCGAGAAAATTTATGTGTTATCAACTAATTTTTTATTTAATTCAATTTTAAAATTTATTTATTTATTTATGTACATTTCTTACGGAAAAAACTGTGAAGTTAATTGGAGGATATTCTTCGTTCCTTTTTCCAACTTATGGCACAACACACCTATTATAAATTTTCGTGGACATAGAAAAATATAATAAATAAAATATAAATTAATTACTGAATTCATTAATAAAAAATAAACTTTATGATAAAAATAAAAAAATAAAAAGAAATTGATATCCAACTTCAAACAAGTTTTAGGTCTACATATATATATATATATATATATATATATAAGCTCACAAAGCAAAAAAATAATTGTGCACGTTCCTGCAAAGAAACACTTATGAAACTAAAACTCATTCGTTATTAAGCATGTTATATCATTTTTAAATTGGTTTATTATGCAACAGTAGATGTTAGTCGCAATAGGGGCTTTAACGAAGTGAGTTTAGTCATTTGTCAAATTGCAGTAAATGAAATAATTACTTTGAAAAAACTAAAATCTCGAGTTAAAGAATGGAGTTATATGATAAAAATATCCACTTGATACATAATTATATTAAAAAGAATATCAATCAATTGAACAAATTTATGTTATGTTCAAACAAATCCGTAAGATTAAAAAAGATAAATAAAAATACTAACATAATATATCCCAGTACATATAGCAGTGGAAGATTACGAAAGATTATGACAAAAAATAAATTCACTTGGTTTCAAATTTGGTATAAATCAAAGTTATTTTGCATTAAAATTTATAATTAATTAAAGATAAAAATATTCATCGATCAGATCAATCCATATTCATATTTATTATTAATAATTTATATGTTTATCTAAACTTGATTTTATAATTTAAATCTCAATTTTTTTAAGTTTGACCCAAATTAACGGAATAAATTTTAAATCCAATCATTAAACTTAATTTAGTAATAAAAATTTTCAAAAATCATTTCAAAAATAAAATATAAAAAATAAAAATTCACATATATATACTTGTATAATTATAATATTTTAATTATATATAATTTGTTTGGGTCAGATTGAACTTAAATTTTAATTTTTTATCTAAAGTTGGGTTTTAAATTCAAACGGATTTACAAGTTATATTTAAATTTGTTTAACGAATTTTAATTTTTTGTTTAAATTTTCTTAAAACTCGAATAGTTTAGACAATTAATCTGACTTTTAAAAGGTCTAATTAGAGATAACAATAAATAAAATGTTAATTAATTATAATTTATTTTATTTTATAAATATTAAATTAAAATATTTTAAAATATTAAATTATATTTTAATTTACATTCGTACCTATATGTATGTATATGTATATCTATATACATATGTATAGATAATTTTGTTTTTTTAATTTGTTTTTATGTTCTTCCATTTACTTTTTCTGGTTAAGCCATGATTGGACTTTGATTTTGTATTTCTATAAAGGTTTGATTATATTGTTCGTCTTTTACGTCCTGTTGGATTAATATATCTCGAAATTTTTTCTTCTTGAGCTTTTCTTTTTGCTCTCCTTTTTCTTTAGGAATGTTGATTGCAGATGGGATGGATGTTGATCATTATATCAATTTTCATCGTCTAGGTAGCTTCTCTTTGCAAGATCTTCTCCTCCTACTCTAAACCCACATTTTTAAATGATGGTTGGTTCAACTTTTTTATAATTTTTTTATAATAATGTTTCAGTTAATGTTTATTTACCCATTGAAAGTTGAAACTAGGTCCAAGTTTTCACATGAGAAATGTCTTGCTGGTTGTTGCTTACTCTGATGATGAATCTATATAAGCTTTTTAAAAACTCTTTAATTTTCCAATTTATCACAGTGAATTGGCCTTTCATATGGGAGGTTTACTTTATGAAATATGGAAGCTATTAGAATTATAAGCAAATGTAAAGTAAATTTATCCATCATATAAGTACAATTATCTTGTAAATTGTTTGTTTGTGATACAACTGACAACTTGGCTCTTGCTGACAAATGGTGAAGCTTTCAATGTTAAGATTTCTTTTATAATGCAATTTATGTTATTTGAATCAATTCAATTTGATGTTCTGGTGTTTTTGTATTATATTGCAGGTTCTTTTCACCAACAATAAGCTACTTGACTTCAAAATGGCATAATCTTTACCTACTATGCTTGTTTGTTGGTATTACATTTTTATCTTTTATGTGGCCTGATCTTTTTACTATTTAGTATTTTTTGTGTCTAGAAATCATTGCTTCTAAATCTTTTTTGCTTCAAATGATATGAGCCTTTATCTTTATGTAAGTAAATGTTTAATGTAAAACCTAGATTAGGTTGACGGGACTTTTCTTTTGTGTACATTTGTAAAATCTGACTAGATAATGACTATAGCTATATCATGTATAAACAAAGCAACTTTATTTAGGTGATTTTGTGTCTTTCCCTAATATCTGCATAAAATTCTACTTTTGTTGCTAAAAAGTCTTACATTAAAAGAGAAAATATAGGATCATAGCTGCTTAATTGTAGAAGAATTATGGAGTCTGTTGATAAGCAAAATATGCCTTTTATTTTTAAATTGATCTATTAATATCATTATGAGATCTACATTTGAAGCTTTAAGGTCAATGATGATATCCATAGAAATTGTTTATTTTATCTTTTAAGGAACTTAAGCATCAAAAGATATTTTAAAGGATCACAAAAACTGTGAGTTATTTAAATAAGGTTTATTGAAACCAATCTCTTTCACTTGCTACTTTGTTCGTATTACTATTTTAAAAAATGCTAATTTAGCAATAATTATGTAATCTAGCTAACTCAATACCTCGGGATATGTACTAATAATAATAATAATCTACTTTAAATGAGATGCCATTCTCATTTCTTTTCTTTTCGCTTATGGCAGTTAATCCATTTTCCTTTGCTAAGTGGGAATTTTTTTGGCATTACCATGGATTATCTGTCCAACCACCTTTTATGTCCTGTCAAAAGAAATTGCTATGCATACAAGATAAAGAATATATAAAAGGATAAGATATTTTATGGGGATAAATAGTATCAAATGATAGCTTAGAAATGGCCAAGAAAAGATTATGCATTGCGTGTTTCGTATGATATAACAAATTGACTATATCTAGAAAAGCATTATGTAAATGGTAAAAATAATAGAGTCTAGAGGACCAGATATAGGAAAAATAAATGTTAAGCCCTTGCATATTAAGAGCTCTCAGCATTAAACAGTTACATCACAACAGTAGTACATTTCATATGTCAGAAAGCAAACTTCATAAATAAAATATAAATTATATTTTAATTTACATTCGTGCCTATATGTATGTGTGTGCATATATATATACATATGTATACATAATTTTGTTTTTTTTATTTGTTTTTATGTTATTCCATTTACTTTTTTTGGTTAGGCTGTAATTGGACTTTGATTTTGTATTTCTATAAAGGCTTGATTATATTGTCTTTCTTGTGCGTCATGTCAGATTAATTTATTGTGAAATTTTTTCTTCTTGGGCTTTCTTTTTTGCTTTCCTTTTTCTTTAGAAAGGTTGATTGTAAATGGGATGGATGTTGATCATTATATCAATTTTTGTCACCTAGGTAGCTTCTCTTTGCAAGATCTTCTCCTCCCACTTTAAACCCACCTTTTTAAATGATGGTTGGTTCAATTTTTTTGTAATTTTTTTATAATAATGTTTCAGTTCATGTTTATTTACACATTGAAAGTTGAAACCTGGTCCAGCTTTCCACAGGAGAAATGTCTTGCTGGTTGTTGCTGACCCTGATGATGAATCCATATAAGCTTTTCAAAAACTCTTTAATTTTTTCATTTATCACAGTGAATTGGCCTTTCGCTTGAGAGGTTTGCTTTATGAAATATGGAAGTTATTAGAACTATAAGCAAATGTAAAGTAAATTTATCCATCATATATGTATAATTTATCTTGTAAATTGTTTGTTTGTGATACAACTGATAGCTTGGCTCTTGCTAACAAATGATGAAGCTTTCAATGTTAAGGTTTCTTTTATGATGAAATTTATGTTATTAGAATCAATTCAATTTGATGTTATGATGTTTTTGTATTCTATTGCAAGTTCTTTTCATCAACAATATGCTACTTGACTTTAAAATGGCATAATCTTTACCTATTATGCTTGTCTATTGGTATTGCATTTTCATCTTTTATGTGGCTTGATCTTTTTACTGTTTAGTATTTTTTGTGTTTAGAAATCCTTACTTCTAAATCTTTTTTGCTTCAAATGATGTGAGCCTCATCTCTGTGTAAGTAAATGTATAATGTAGAACCTGGATTAGGTTGACGGGACTTTTCTTTTATGTACATTTGTAAAATTTGACTAGATAATGACTATTGCTATATCATGTCTAAACAAAGCAACTTCATTCAGGTGATTTTGGTTCTTTCCTTGATATCTGCATAAAATTCTACTTTTGTTGCTAAAATGTCTTACATTAAAGGAGCAAATATAAAATCATAGCTGCTTAACTGCAAAAGAATTATAGAGTCTGTTGATAAGCAAAATATGCCTCTTATTTTTAAATTGGTCTATTGATATCATTACGATTGCTACATCTGAAGCTTTAAGGTCAATGATGGTATCCCTAGAGATTGTTTATCGTATCTTTCAAAGAACTTAAGCATCAAAAGATATTTTAAGGGATCACTAAAATTGTGAGTTATTTAAATAAGGTTTATTAAAACCAATCTTTTTCACTTGTTGCTTTGTTCGTATTACTACTTTAGGAAATGCTAATTTAGCAATAATTATGTAATCTAGCTAACCCAATACCTTGGGATATGTACTACTAATAATAATAATCTACTTCAAAAGAGATGCCATTCTCATTTCTCCTCTTTTCGCTTATGGCAGTTAATCCATTTTCCTTTACTAAGTAAGAATTTTTTTGGTATTACCATGGATTATCTATCCAGCCACCTTCTATGTCCTGTCAAAAGTAAAAAGAATATGGTAAGGGTTAGAAACAAAAACCTTGTCATGCGTTCTACTAAAAAATGTTCTTCTTTCTCCACCTATATGATTATGTGAATGAAATTTGTTATTATTCTTCATTTTTTTTATGCAGGTAATGCAAATGGCATGGGAAGCATTAAAAAAAGATAAGTTCTATCTTGCTTACACAATTCATAAGGTGTTCTTATTATCATGCTAGCTTAATTGGGGTTTAATTACTTA